GTTTTTGACTTGTCATTCGGAACAGCCAACGGTGTCTACATCTCACTCTAATTTTTAAAATATATATTTTTAATTTGATTAATTTGAAGTTTTTAAGCTTGTGAAGTTTTTATTTCCTGTGTAAGATCGGCTTTCCTCTTCTGGGCATTAGCACAAGGCAACATAACTTAATAACGATAACGATGAATATTATTTTTATGCACAAATTGCAGAAACCGAAATTGCGAAGTTCGGTTCTCGGCTTGCCAAGTTTTCCCAGATCCCGATTCATTGGCAGTTAGGTGCTCTCCTAGCGGTAGATTCCAAATCCCAAACAGCATGTGCACCGACGGGATGCCCCTTTCCAGTCCCCCAATCTCGTGGTAATTTGTTGCTATTGGCCAGGTTGTGACATGGCGAGTTATACGATGTGATAAGACAATAAATATTTTTACCATCTACAGTTCAATTATGCATTCGTATGGCCAGCCTTATCGGCCACTTTGTCTTCGGAAGAACCTGTCCGAGTTATGAACTCGCTTTCGTATCTCCATCAGCATCTGGTTGTGACTATTTATAGTCACTAACTAATTTTGTTCGGATAAGTTTGGAATTGGAACTGAAGGCATTTCTCGGAGTGATCTGCGAGGTGCTGATCGCTGAGACTTCTCTGACATAGATTTTTAAGTTGCGAGCAGTCGTAAAAGTTGAGAGACATCTCTCTCAAAAATGCGGCTTAATAAAAACGGTAGTCGATACATTACTCGAAATATGCTGAAAACTATTAAATATATTACATTAGAGTTTAAAAAGGAATACCAACTTCTCTACCCATTACTAGCTGCTCTAATTTCGAGTAATTTTTTCCTGCCATCTGCAGAACTTTGTCAATTTTGCGGCAAATATTTATGATAATTATAGCCATTCGCCGGCAGGGAAATAAAATCATTTCATGGCACTTAAATGATAGGCCTGCTTGCCGAGCTATAAAACCGGCGGAAATCGAATCGAATTTTGTGTACAAACATGCGTCAATGAAAGCCAACTTTGTGGAAAACAAATCGAGTTCCGGCCAGCGGCGAGTGCATATTGATGGTCGGTAATTATAGCTTTCCTTTTCCTGCTCCTGTTCCCCTCCCAAAGGATGAGTGTCATGCGTTAAAGAAGCTACCCCACTTTATAATTCATGGTTTTCCAACCTGAAATTAAACTCAAATTGCTCGGGAAACGAACAAACGGCTACGGAAACTTGGGGTAGTGTCCTGGGCGGAGGAGTCCTTTTTGGGGATGTTCGGGTGTGCAAGGCTATGTAATTTAAGTAAAGTTTTCAAAATTGTTAAGTGCCCAATTGTGCGTGTGAATGTGCGTGTAATAGAGCGTCACCAAGCGGCGAAGGACGAACCTGCAGGGACACCTGTCCCCGTTCGCATTGTCCTGGTCAGAAGGATGAACTTTGGGGGTGTCCTGCTATCAGGTGCTTTGGTTTGTTAAATAATTTGTGCAGCCAACCATTTAAATCACAGCCAGGACAAAGGAGGAGTTCCTGGTTGTCGTGGCAGCAGCCTTTTCACAACTATTACAGGGCAATTTAAATATTAACAAAATACGAAATTTATCAAAGCTCTGAGCTTGTTGTGAAATTGTTTGCGTAACAGCTTTCCTCTATATTCTTTTAGTTTCAGAATATCTTCAACTTAGTATTTATTCATTTCTAAGCACACGTTTTTTCTCATTAACCGTTTAAGCTCATGTTTTTTTGGGATTCTTCTTCCACTAAGTTCTCCCCCACTTAACGTTCTATCTGCCCGCATTCAATGGCAAATTAATTCTGTTCTATAACTCAACACACAGCGCTGTCAAAATATTGAATCTTTCGCTCCCTTTTGCTAAATTATCAACGTCAAACGGGAGAAACCGGAGTTTAAGGAAAAAATCGAAAGAAGACAGAGAACTGTCAGAGGAGCGGCGGCAAATTTCGCATCTTCCTCAGCGGGCTTTTTGCGTTTTTGCAGAAGCCAAAGGTTGTCGCTGATGGCTGATGGCTGATGGCCGGGCTGAAATCCCATATAGACAATAAATTTTCCATTTTATTTTCGCCGCGGAGCGGGCTTATGGCATTTTTATTACGAATGGGTGAAAACAAAATAAGCAGTAAAATTAATCGTCGACTTAGCCGGCGATTAACAGAAATATCAAAGACGGCATCCATTTTGGCTGCCCGCAGTTGAAAACTCGGATCGGAGGGGCTTAAATGGCAGTGGAAACTTTCAGGGTTCACGAATTGGATTCCGAGTATGGTCTATCTTTATTATACTATCGAAATGGCTGGATTTGGATTTGGCCATTAAATGAAGTTAACAAAAAGATGTTTCCATATGTTCAAAAAGAAAATATTTTCACAGGAGTACAAAATTGTTCTCAAGAGATTTAAGCATGTTATATATTATATTTAATAGAACAACCATTAGTGTTATATAATTATGTGATCTCAACAGAGTGTGAAAAATGATTTGGAATGGCGTAAGGGAATCGAAATAATGATCTGACAATAGATCGGCTTTTCCCTACCTTCGCATATCTTTTCAAACCCAATCAGCAGAGTTTGAACTCCATTCTATTAGTGCTACTCCCCACTTTTCTGGGCTCGCCCTTGGAAAAGTGATCTGCAAACCCTTTTCCATTGCGCAACATATGCCCCTCCACCTTCTTCCCTCATGCAAGATTAGATCCTGAAACCATATGTGCCTTACGCTATAGAATCGTCTCGATTTCTGCGATTCCATCTCCGCACACACCTTTGGCTCTTCGTGTAAGCTGAGCTCTAATCACGGCGAGCAGATCACAAATCCTTTTCAAGCCATCTCATATTTACCAAAAGGTGCCGAAAGCAAACATCTAGTGAAAGGATTAGGGTCTCCAAAGCACACACATGTCTCGCAGTTCCCTGAATAGGGCCAAATTAGTTGTATTCCTTGTCGAGAGGGGCCAGAAATCTACTCCGGCATTGTGTGCATTGTGCAAGGAGCAAATTAATTGCATTTACTCCTGAAACTCGATACTTTCCCTTGCGAGTGTGGGTGATTATGTAATCCTAAACTCCAGCAGCCAGCCACGCCTTGATTAAATAATTAATAATATTTTATAAACAAGCGGCGTGCTTATCGCCATAACAAATATCTGCTGCTCTGACTGAGAAGTAGAAGGAAATGCTGATATAGAAACTGAAAATATTCTAAGTTAGTTAATTAGTTCTTATTTCTTCTGTTTGTATTCCCTATTCCCTAGGATATTCTGCCATAATGTTACTTCTTAAGATAATCTACAATATTTCAAAAATTTAACCATATCACTTTTCAGCTTAAACAGAAAATTAATCCTAATCTCCTGATCGTAAGTCATGTTTCTTGATTCCACTTACAACTACTTGGTTTCCATCTTAAACATATTTAGTCGTCTATTAGGTGGAAGTATTTGTTTTTTTTCTGTGTAAGCTACTTGTTTAGGGCTCTTTGGAAATGGCCCACACAAGTGCATCTGGGCCATATCTCTGATCTGATCGGACCATCGCAAGTGCCACTGTATCGGGTCCTGAAAACGAAGACCGACCAATGACAAAACACAGGCTCAAACAACAAACACGTTAGTGTCCCGAGATGTAGATAAGTTCATCATCGGCGCAGTGCAGGCATCTTTCTCAAGACTGGTATCCCATTCCTTTTAAGCACTGAACAAAAAATATTACTGTTTTTTTGAATAAATCAAATTATTTGTTGGTATGATATTAATTTCAACATTAATTAACTGGGTTATCTCCTTTTAACTTTCAATTTTGTATTCTGAATATTATAAATTATTATTAATTACGTTGAAAACCAATCCTTCTTCAACTCCTGGCACATCATAAAATCTTTTTCTCCAGTGCAGTTTCAGTTTCCTTCGGTCGTTCGCTGACCGTAGGGTGTTGACGGCTTGTAGGCGGTAACGATGATGGTGATGATGCTGCCTCGAGGGCCGTTTAAAGGCCACCACAACTTATCGACGAATTCGGATTCGTATCTTGTGGATGCTGGGTCTCTGTGTGTTCCTTCTCCATTTGCCGCAGGATCTGCGATAAATCACTTCGAACTGCGGCGCAGCCATCAAAATCAATAAAGGCCGCTGGAAAGAGGTGTATAAACTGAAACGTTGATGGCTTCATCATTGGCCAACTGCGGCATTTGATCACAGCATTCGTTCCGCTCATGTAGGTCTACCTTCTTTGTTCGATCTTACTTTTTAGCTTAGGTAGACGAACCGCTGACCAGATGCCTGATTTATGTCAAACTGTTTGATGACCAGTTAATCGCCGGGTTCCGAACATGCACTTCTTAAATGCATTTTATTGCCTATTAATTAATCACTCTTTAATTCTTCTTTTATCAGTTTAAGTCAGTTTATTTCTGTGGATGAATATGTTTAACAAACATCATTAAAATATTAAATTTAAATAAATAAGAATTAAGAAATAAGAATTATTTACATACTTTAAATAGCTTGCAATTTAATGTTCTTGTAATATACTCTTTGTTACGTTTATTTGACTTTAAGGTACAAAAGGAATGAATGAAATAAATGACTCAATTTGTTTATATTTCAAATTCGTATTTTTACACTTTTTTTTAAAAGTAAACAATTATACAATTATTTGATTTTAAATGTTTTGTAATTCCCCGCCAAGACATGGGCAGCACTGGCTGAACTATCGATGCAGGTTATCGCATAACTGCATTAACAACGTTGCCACCCTGTCGAGAGTTTTTAAATGCCTAACTGTTTAAAACATGTGCTGCATATAAAAAAAACTCTCTTTTATTTAATAAATTGAGTATTATAAATTTGGTTATATGGAAAAAATGTATTAAAATTAAAGAAATTTAAATATCGATACTGATAAACGTTGGCTAACAGAAATGACAATATATATCTATTTATCAGTTTCAATAATATCGATTTATTGTTATACATTTTTCACATCCCTATTTAAAACACAAACAAAAATCTCGAGTCAAATATATAAATATAAATGAAACAAATTTGGAATCCAGTTCTCGAGTAGATAGCTGTCTATAAATTCTCGGTTTGTTAGTATAATTAAACAAAATCTGTTGTGCGCATGAAAAAAAAAATATTAAGGTGAGTCCTAGTTGCACACACTCATACACACGCACGTGTCCAAGCCGCTGATTCACACGCACACACGTCGAAAAAAGCCGGCTGTAGAACACAACAACCATAGCGATAACGATATTAACACTTTCGCGCCTTTTAAAATTTTAAATTCGGTGCGCATCCATTGAAGGCGAAAGTCTTGTTTATTTTCGTCTGTTCCTCTTTTTTTGGCACGCATTTCTTTGTTATTGATCAATTGGCAATCGATGAACGAAGTGTGCCCCGTCTGTAAGATTTTCTTTTTTTCGCTTCTTTTTTGATTTTCTATTTTCCTTGGATGATCTTGGTGCCGTGCCATGAGTTTTCGAAAATAGCCAGCCATTGACACGCCGCCGCGCACACTAGAACCGGGCGAGTGGTGAAGTAATAACCTGCACTACTTAAAAAAAAAAGAAAAATAAAAAACAACCACCTTGAACCCATTCAGAAAACCCACTTTCGAAATCCGACCATCACGAGACCCAAATAGTGGTCCCGATTCTCGGGGAATTCGGATCAGGAGTAGTGAAGTGAAGTAATGCAAACTGCACTTAGTAAATCTAAATTAAATTCAAATAGTGAGAAATATTTTAAAACTATTATAAAAAGTTTTAAAGAGCAAATTATAAATAAGGGAAAATAATAATCTTGTAAAAAACGTTTTTTTTAGTACACTTTTTTTATTTGTTTAAAAACTTTAAATATTAAGGATCTTAAAACCTTTTAAAATACAAACATAAGTGCCAAGAAACAAATATTAAAGTAAAAAAAGGTTAAAAAGTTACGTATTCTGCAAAGATCACAGCCTCCTCTTCCTCTTGCAGGAATCCAAATTAACTGTGAATTCAATATGGCTCAGATAACCGAGAAGAGGACGACGTCGGCCCGATCGGGAACTGCGGCCAAGGAGAACCACAGTCTGACAGGACAGCACAATCATCACAATCAGGGACACCAGCGCAGCGGCAAGGGCATTGAGATCCTCGACTTCCATGAGTCTTGGCTGGAGGAGGTGGAGCTGTACAAGGACAAGATGGTCATGTGCAAGAAGTTGGCACACCACAACCATATGCCCGCCGCTGCCCACCACCTACAGCCGCATCTTTCTGCTCCGAATCGAAATCAGGGCCGGGTTGTCCAGCCCACCACTCCGCAGCATCGCAGCTCAGCCGGTGGAGGATCAATTTCTGGTGCTGCATCTGCTTCGATTTCCCTTTCCGCCTCCGCTCGTTCTTCGCCGCCTGGCCATAAACAAAGATCACCGCCATCGCCAAGAAAACGCCTGACACCCGAGAAAGTAACCGTCGGTCTTGGCGGAGGAGCCTCCAAGGTTGCCGGTCAGCGCATCGTCATTCGAGGTTCCCCGCCTAATAACTCCCCACCCAAGGTCGCTGTTACGGCTTCAAGCGCAGCGCCCTTTGTGGCCAATAGTGTGCTCCAATCGGAGCCGTACAAGAAAGTCCAGGTAAGCAGGAAACACAACTTATTTGTTAAGATCTATGTAACCCTTAGAGGTAACCACTTTGTGTACTTTTATGTTGTTTTTGAGTTTGAGTATTAATGATGATACAAAATCTCCAAATCTCTTTGAATAATTTATATATATCTGTAAATATTTCACTAAATGTTTTTATTATTTCTACAACCCATTCTCGTTTTTTACTTTCATAATTATACTAAACTTTTAGTTCATTTTTGTCATAAGTTTCGAAGTTAAACTGAAACAGTAATTAATGACAAATAATACTGTCAGGATTCTTGAACTGATTCATTCCATCAATGATATCCTTAATATTTCCAAAAGGAAACAGACATCTCAAATTGCATATCTCAATTTTCCTGAATTTACACTTTCTGGGCTCTGTTAACCTGCATGTCATAATTTGTTGTCCCGTCTCTTCCCTTCACGTTCCATGTTATGCGCTTCCGCTTCCTCTCCACTAACCAACCAGATGCTTTTGAAGCGCGCAAGGGAGGAAGTGCTCTCCAAAAACTCACCTGGCTTTGGCAATGGAGGCAAGCGCTCCAGTCTCAGTCCGCCCAACCAGGTCGACCTTCCCTCTTCAAGTATGTCCTGCCCGAGTACCCAGACCCTGAAGCCATCTCAGACCAGCAAGATCGTGGTGAACTCGTTCCATGGCAGCAGCATGCTGAGTGCCCAGCAGCAGGAGGAGAAGAGCAGACTGCTCACTCAAAACGGGCTAACAAAGTCGGCTGCCAGCGCCTTGGAGACGAGCCTCTACGCCTCACTATACGCCCATCCGCCCCAGAACACCCAGCACCAGTTCCACCACCAGCGGATTTCCGCCGGAGACCACAGTCCACCGTATGTGGGAGTCTCCCTGAACAAGGGAATCGGACATGACCACGACCGGAAGCACGAAGACGATCCCTGCGCAGGTAAGAAATTATACGACCAGATTATTCGAATTTGATTCCGTAAGCTTCAATAACTTTTCAGCCATTGATGACATCAACAACTACGACGATTCGGACTCGGAGGAGGAGTACGTGGGCACGCCGTTCTTCCTGGAAGAGGACAACACGGAGACGCGTCAGAGCAAGCACACTCGCCTGCTGCCGGAGAAGACTCAGTCGAAGGAATCGGTGGCCACCACTGATTCAGAAGCTTCGGTCTACTTCCGTCCAGGGGCTATCCTTTCGCCCAGCCTCTTCCCTCACGTTCCGCCGTACCTGAACTTCACCTCGCACGCTGACAAGGGACCCCCGATGCCAGGCAGCCTTGCATCGAGTCCTGAAATGGAAACTAAGTCCTGTGATGCCAAAGATTGTCAAGCGAGTGGTACTCAACTCAGGCTTCCGTATCATCAAGAGTGAGTCCTGCTAGTCCTGATTCTGTATCGCCTTCAATAATAAATCCTCCTGCAGACACCACCGACTGGATGGCAGTTTGGGAGAAGCACATGAAGAGCCCCGGCTTTAGGACCATTCGATCGCACCAGAAGTACAACCATATCCCTGGATCGTTCCGAATCGGACGAAAAGACACCATGTGGCGCAGCATCTACAACAATATGAAGAAATTCGGCAAGAAGGAGTTCGGCTTTATGCAAAAGTGAGCACTTCAATGCTACTAACTACAACTAAATTAAATTATTTAAATTTATATTTCCCAACAGATCCTACATAATGCCTGATGACTTGGAAAGTCTGCGCCAGGTGTGGCCCAAAAATGCGTCTAAGCTGACGAAGTGGATTGTAAAGCCGCCAGCGAGTGCCCGAGGAACAGGCATTCGAATTGTGAACAAATGGAGCCAATTTCCCAAAGACCGTCCGTTGGTTGTTCAAAAGTGAGTTCGCACATCCCGCCCATTCGTAACCCATCCTTAAGGCATACCATTTCAGATATATTGAACGGCCGCTGCTGATCAACGACAACAAGTTTGATATGCGTCTGTATGTGGTGTTGACCTCAATAAATCCACTCCGAATCTATATGTACAAGGATGGACTGGCGCGGTTTGCGTCCGTAAAGTACAGCTCGGAGTTAAGCAATCTCGACGAGCGCTGCATGCACCTGACCAACTACAGCATCAATAAGTTCTCGCAGAACTACGCGAAGAATGAGGACTTCAATGCTTGCCAGGGTCACAAGTGGACCCTTCAATCACTGTGGTCATGCCTGGAGAATCGTGGCGTGAACACCAAGCGCTTGTGGGCTACTCTGCGGAATCTGGTGATCAAAGGTATCGTAAGCGGGGAGTCAGGATTGAATCGCATGTACCGCCAGAATGTGAACTTCCGCTACAATTGCTTTGAGCTGTTTGGCTTTGATGTGCTGTTGGATGAGAACTTGGTGCCCTGGTTGCTGGAAATCAATATATCGCCCTCGCTGCACTCAGAACTACCCTTGGATCTGCACGTAAAGGGTCCGCTCATTCAGGCCGTGTTAAATACGGCTCTCTACCAGGTGCCTCCAAAGCTGAATGAACGCCAGCAGACGGAGATCCTGGAAGAGCTGAATCTGGCCGGTCCCCTGTGCCATGACAAGCGCATCTTCACCACCTGCCTGACGGCGGAGGAAGTGCGCAAGCATAACCAGTACACCAACCGGAGCATCGAGTTCCGAGAGGAGTACGTAGACACCATTCTAGACAACCTGCTGCCGGACGATGTGCGTTGCCTAATCGTTGCCGAAGATGAGCTGGCTAGATGCCATCCGCTGGAACGGATCTTCCCCACATCCGGTACCCATATATATTTGCGATATGTCGAGAATGCCCGCTACTACAATCGCCTGCTAGACGCCTGGGAGACGAAGTTCGCCAAGAACAGGGAAATGGGCATTGCCCTGCTGTCACGCTATTGTCGGGACAAATACCATCTGCAGGTCTCGGATGCCGCCATGGAGAAGGTGAACGATCAATTTAATACATTTCCTTTTACGTACCGCTTCTGTAGCCCATTTTCAAGTCATATTTCTTATGTAGGAACCAAATGTTGCACTTACCGAGATCGATATGCTGCACGTGCGAAAGGATGAGGTGCTGGACGGTGCCACCACGCTGGCCATGCTTAAGCCCACCGCCGTGGACAGCAGCGAGTTGGTGGTACCGAGTCCGGATGCCTCCATCGAGGTTAAGTCCTGAAACCACAACTGATCCCCTTCGAGAGAATCGTCAACCGCCACCGCATATCGAAATCATCATAAGAAAGTCATTTCCGCATTCAATTCCGTTTCTGGTACTACACTACGCCCACATCCCGTTCAAATTTGCTTTGGAATTGTCTCTACTGAATACCCTGGATCGTGCTGTCATTATTACTTATTATTTACGGAACATAGAAAAATTATAAAGTGAATAAACAACATACATTATTTCGTGGTGTGATAAATGTAAATATATGGTTTGTTTGTAACATAATAACATAACATTACCTAATTAAATTCATTATAATATATATTTTGAATATGCGCGCTTTTGTCACAAACGATAGATGATGCGAGGCGTAATCGATAGTAAATAGCGCGATTACCTTAAAACAATCAAGATGCCGATAACGACATCACGCCTTGTAGTATCGATAGATATAGTAAAATAATAATAAACAAAAATTCATAGCGCTGAACTAAAAACTAAATTTAAGACCATGGCGTGGACTGAGTTATAAAATTGGAAGTCTACCAAGGGAATAGGATCGAAATACTTGCACAGGAAAACTCAGGAATTGGCAATATAACAGCGAAAAAAAGAAGTCTCCCATTGATTTTTCGCTAAATACCAGATATCTTGAATACAATAAAAAAGTGTGGTAAGAAGTACTGGAATTCGGCCTGCTAATCAGGAAAATGAGTGGTAAGAATCGATTTCCGTATAAAGGGGGCTTGATTTCATTTTATGTTTACGTTTTTAAAGCAAGAATTTTGTAGGGACTGTATGGGAATTTGCAGTCTACTTTTGGGGAGTGGGATACCTTGGGTTAAGGGGCTGTGGTGTGTTAAAGGTCCTGGCTGAAAAGGACGCACCTGCGCCTTAACCTCTCCTCCCGCCTCCTGAAAATTCCTGCCCCCGATGAAGTCATCAATTTTGTAACAATGTATAATGTGGAACTTCGATTATGTGATAATTTTCCAATTAGAAGTTTTGCAATATGGAAATTAGCGATATACATTTTTGTTTTTCTAAGAAAAATTACATTAAAAGCTAATTTATTACAAATTAAGACTATTATATAATTTTAAAGTAATTGCATGACATTTACTTTAATGGGTTCGATTAGTAAATGCCTTTTTATGAAAAGCTTAGTGACGATATATTTTTAATATTCCTAACAGGTGACGAAAGTGGGGAAGAAAAACACATCCTGGACTTGTCCAAGAAGAAGCTGAAGAAGGTGCCCAAGCAGGACGATGCGCACAGCATACGGCAGCTCATCCTGGATGAGAACGAACTGCAAAAGATCGACAACATAGACTCGTACCATAAGATTGAAACTGTGACTACCCGAAAGTCATCCCAAATCTTATCTCTTAAATAATAAAAAATTCTCCTCTTATAGCTCTCCTTGGCCAGGAATCAATTGCTGCGGATGTATGGCGTCTGCAGACTGCACTGCCTCCGTGAACTGAACCTCTCCTTCAATGGCATACTCTCCATCGAAGGTCTTAAAGAGTGCATCCATCTTCGCGTATTAAACCTGGAAGGGAATAACGTCAAGACCATCGAGCACCTAAACATGAATGTTAATCTGGAGTCCCTGAATCTGGCCGACAACAGCATTGGCAGCATTTCGGATATGTCCTTTTTGCGCAATCTTAAGGAGCTCTACTTGCACGGAAATCGCTTGACGCACCTCAGGCAGTGCGATAAGTATTTGCCCACCTCTCTGGAAACCCTGACGCTGGCCAAGAACAGCATCAACGATCTCAACGAGATCTGCACGCTGTCACATCTGAGTAGTCTGCTTAGCATCTCCATTGCGGATAATCCCTGTGTGATCATGACCAACAGCTTGGAGTGAGTATTTCTAAGGTCTTTCTGGCAATTTAGTTATATATACTTATTCTGTGGCTTAAAATTTATAGTGGCTTTGACTACCGACCCTTCGTTTTGAATTGGTGCATGAGTCTAAAGTACATCGACGGCTATGTGGTAGATCCCATCGAAAGTCTAAAGGCGGAGTGGCTTTACAGCCAAGGACGTGGTCGCCAATTTAGAGTGGGTGAACAGCAGGGCTTGGCGAAATATCTCAGTTCGATGTGCCCGCTGGTGGGAAAAGCCCTTGAGAACGAAAACGATAGGAAACTGCGCTTGATTCTTAGTAAGGCGCAACACCATCAGCGGCAGCTGCAGGAGGAGATTATGGATAATGCAAATAGTTCTGCCAGCACTTCGCCCTCATCCCATCGCAAGAAGCCCACAAGTCGCATTCAGTCGCCTAGATGTGAGCTATTACATTTGCATTTATATTTCTATAAAATCAGATTTAAAACCACATTTTAAACTTTTAGTCTCCCGTTTGAGCGGGCGCCAGGGATCACCGGAATCTATGGCGAATAGTTATCATGGGAACAGCAGCAACAACAGCGTCGTCAGCGACAACGGATCTGCGAATCATTCGCTGCAGATGAGCATTTCGCTGATTGAAAATATCAAGAACGATGGCGACGGCTTCTCGCTAGCTGGCAGCGGAATGTCCAGCAGTGTGACCACCAAGACATACAATTCCACGGAGTCCACTCCAAGAAATATAACACCAAATCCTTACAATGGTAAGTTACCTTAAATTATATTGTAATCCGTCCTAAAACCCACTGTTTTCCAGATCAAACATTCATCAGTCAAACTCCTTCTGGCGGTCCCTTGGCGGCAGCCTCGAAGATGGTCCCTGTTCCGGAGACCCTAATGAGTCCGGATGTTTGTCCCGCCGCCGTAGCTCAAAGGGTTACGGTTACCGCTCTGAACTCGCAACTGCACAAATCCAAGGGCAACAAGAACAAAGGTGGCCAGTAGTAGAAAGTTTAGACTTCACAATACACAAAAACTTCACGTCACACTCTTACTCATAGACGTTTTTTTTTACTGTACAGACAACAAACTGAACTTACCGAGAGTGCGAAGCCCGCAGCTAAAGAGGAACCAGAGTCCAACTAGCAGTCCGCGGAGGATGGCCACCAAATGCGATAAAGTGCAGCAGCAGCAGGAAAAGTTGCAGACGTCGGCAGTAATGGTGGATGCCGGTGGCTTTAGCACCGATGACGATGGCGAGCAGATCAACACCGAGAAACTAAAGGCAATCAGGAAGATGGCTGCCCAAAAGCAGCAACAGATGCAACAAGAACAACTAAAGCAGCAGGTAGACAACAGTCTGAACTGTGGGGATCGGTTGATCGAGCACGTGACGGAATCCTCGGCAGTTACCATACAAAAAATGTGGAGAGGATATCACACACGCAAGAAGACCAATAAGGATATAGCCGAGCGCTTGCAGCGACGACGCACTCAGGAGTATATTGAGTAGGTTTTTCTGAATCATAATCTAATCACAATTTTAAAACGAAATTAATTCCTTATCCTCCAGACAACTCGGCAAGGACATGCTATTGACCAAGGCTCAACTCGAGAACGAGCGCAAGATCCAGCAGCTGCAGATGCAGGCTATCAATGCGCTATGGAAAAAGGTGTCCACCATGGAGGTGGATCCGAAGGGTATACCTGCGGCTACGGAACAGGGCGAGGATTCTAACGGAGGAGGCTCTGGCCATTTGAGCCTCGATCAGAATTCTGCCGCCGTGGTCAATGATTTGGCCAAAAGATGCACCATGCTCACCGACCAGGTGCAAATGCTACAGAGCTCGATTGGAACCATCGTCAATTGCCTCACTATGGTGTGTAATCTGCCACAGGACGCTATTAAAAAACAGGCCGAGATAATTGATTGTAGCTCCACTCAAACGGACTTGATAGCCGTACACACACCCCAAATCGAGGACCTCACCAATTTTCCCTTTACCAAAACCAGACCCTCGACATTGGCCCTGGAATCCAAGCACGAAACGTTGGCTTGCCCCAAAATCGATGAGCTGAACGATGTCGATCTTAAGGAAACCGAGGACTTGGCTCATCTTGAACAAGATGCATGAAAAATCCCAGTTAATAAATGAGGAGTATAAACGCTTTAAGGATGGGTCTCAGCGCTTATTAATTCCTCCCGTAGGCTTTTGTGTAGCTTTTGCAAAAATTTCTAGATCGGTTACAACTTAAAAGTAGCAGCAGGCCACAAACACGATTTTTTGTTACATTATTGATATGTAGTGAGGGAGATTAATGAAAAAAGTAAATACAAATTTTTGTAAAACACAACCGTTAATCTTCTGATTTTGGGAAATTATTATTTACTTCTTTCCTACCCATTTCTAACTTTTAAAAATATCTTCCAATGACATCAGCAATAACAGTTTTTAATTATTTCTTGTTAAACGCAGGACAAAATTTTAAAAAAATCTTAACTACATGGTTGAATTTTTGTACTTTTTATGGGAATTTCAGTCTTCGTCGCTGGATGTTTCCTCATCTTCCTCGTCACAGGAGGATTCTTGATTTACAGGACGATTGGTGTTGGGCAGGAGGTCATCTTCGAAGTCGGAATCATCGTGATTTTGGTTGGATGATTCCTCCTGGGAAGGTTTTTTGGTAAATTTATCTGGCCAAACTCCAGCTTTTGTGTATTCCTTGATATGCTCAGGGGTAAGTATTTTGCAAATTTCAGCTTTGACTTTGTCGCCCTCTTCAATCGGTTCGATTAAAAGGAAGTCGCCCCTTTTCACCCACATGCTCTTACGGAATTTGTTGGGCATCGAAACTGAAAAGGTTTTGAGTATTTTAATATTCTATTAATAACCAGTCATATTTTTTTACACTTACCAAGAAAGTTTTCTTCGATCTTCGCAGTTTCCACCTCGTGGAGATTGTTTCCCCGGCTGCTGACCACCCGCACAATTTGCTGGTTTTCCGTAGGCAAAGCGTAGTCGTCCTCCATCATCTCCTTCATCAAGTGCTTGCGGCGACTAATACTCGGATGGGATCGGTGCATTTTGTGTGGTTTAAGCTATGCAATTTCAAAATCGCAAATTTGAGAAATTTTTAGATTTTGTTGATTTGTTTTGTGTACAATCAGCTGCTTGGCGTTGCCAGATAGCGAACGCAGGTGTATCGTGTAATCGATATCACATCATGCTTTTTTAATTATCAGCTGTTTGCTAGAACTGTCAGTGGATTGGCACTTTCGATAGTATCGATGGTAGATTGAAGGCAATAAATTTGAATGCGAATTATTTCTATAATCATTTAATATATTTTATTTTTTATAAGCACACCCATATAATCACAAGCAAAAATTATTCTTCAGTAAATTATAGAGAAAAAGCAGATCAGACCAGTAAAATTATGATCACAATAGCAAGGACATTTTATTTTTAGAGCCACGCCTGCGTTTAAAGTTTTTATACAATTGTGTAACCTAACAATTAGTGGAGAATGAATCCATGTAACGAGAATTTGCTTAGCAATAGTGTAATAAAAAGCAACTAGAAATAAAAAATATATTATAGGGGTGTTGTTTATAGCTAACTAACTAGTTTTTGCTGCGCCTCAACAGCATGCGCTCCTTCAGAGAAATCCGTCCGGACTTTTCCACCTTGGTGGATACGTTGCGACGGGACTCAATTTGGGCCTGCTTCGATTTCTTCATCCTGGAAATACAAGATAAACCATTAACCATGTTATACTAGTGTATTTAATTTAGATTTCCTTACAGTTCATTCAAGAGACTGGTAATCTCCTTCTTCCAAATATCCTTGAAGTCATTGGTGAAGTTAGTCCAGTACTCGAAAAACTGATCGGGTGTACACTGGGCCAAGGTCAGGGTGCAGGCCTTGGGCGAAAAGTGATAAAACCTCATTGTCTCCAAGAACAACTCGCGACACTCCTCGAGAGATTGGTGGAGCTTGGCCATCGACTTGTCCGCTCCCTCCATGAACTCCTCCATTTTAGACTTGAACGGCTCCATGATTTCCGGGCGGGAAGCAGACAAAACTTTGGCGGTGGTTCTCTTACAACCTAAAAGGAAATAAATTTATATTTAAAATATTCATAAAGAAATAAAATCTGTAGACTCACCCAAAAACTTCTTATTGAGATCAAAGATCTGCTGCTGCACCTCCTCGAAATCCATTTGGGCAGCTCTTTCTACATCCGCTGGTTCTGGAATAGGCAGTCGGATCTCCAGAGGATGCACTCCCTCCTTTCTCCGATGCGCGATATAGGTGCGAACTATGAAATGGAGCAGGGTGGTGTGCGATTCCTTTGACTTGACATCCTTGAGCTTTCCCAAAATATCCAGATTGAAGCCATCGGCTTGTCCCCGCTGTCGATTTCCGCCGTTCATATAGTTTCCCAGGGTAAGAATTATGGAGAAGACCAGCTTCAGATCCTCGCTTTCGATCAGTTGCTGCGAAAGCTGGGATAGAGTTTCCAGCTTTCGAACCAACAAAGTTACGGACTCTTCGAACTCCGCTTGGAAGACAATACAGGAGATTCTCTCGCTGGCCATGGATATCAAAGAGATATCCAGGAGAAATTGCTCGGGATGATCGAGGGGAATATCCCCGCCTGCTGCCTCTTTGATCCTCTGCAACTCATCCTCCGTCGCCTGGATGTTGCTCATGTGCTGTAGGGCCTCCAAGCTGACTACCGATGTGTCTATATGGTATATAGCATGCTCGATTTCGCTGGACGGCACATGCAGACTCCTCCAGATAATGCCCACATTTCGGGATCTCTCCGGGTCAAGGACTTTGATGGACTTGGCTCGCTTGACTTTAGTTCCTTGGGCTTGCTAACGGGAGCCATTGCTTGGCGGGAAAACAGCTCCGTAAACTCATCGATATTATCCAGCGGGGTCTCCTCGATTTCCGTCCAAATTTCCTTTGTAGGTGGTGCAGCGGGCGGGGACTTCTCCGCCGTTTGCAGCCGGAGGTTCGTCCGGGGAACTTCCGCTGTTTTCAGTACTGTCCGTGGAATTAGCCACCGATGGGGGGCGAGGCGCAGGCGGGGCACTCGTGACGATCCGCGTCCAATATAAAGGGCGCATCGGCTTCGGCGGGTTAACGGCGCTTTTTCGCATCGCTGGAATAAAGTTGATATGAAATTATTAAAAAATTAATCATAAGTTAATTGGGAACTTACTATTTGTGCGATGGAACCAATTGCCTTCGGCGGGATCAGGAAGTGGGGCGGGTGAGATCGGCGTCTTTGAGGCGGACGCATTCATGGGTGGCGGAGGAGGAGGTATTGCACCGCCTCCATCGACGGGAGCGGGTGGAGGAGGAGGTGGACCAGCACCACTGACAGGAGGAGGAGGTGGCGGAGGTGGTGGTGCCCCAGTTTTAGCTAGGGGTGGAAGAGGAGGTGGTGGAGGTGCTCCAAAGGCGGGTGGCGGTGGAGGAGGCGGAGGGGGAGGTGGAGCAAGGGCAGGTGCCTTTTCCTTATTTTCCTCATTTTGCTTTGAGTGTTCCTCATCGGAAATTTCCTTCAAGGATTGACCGCATTTGCATGCTCCCTCGCAATCCATCTTCTCATTTTCCGTTTGAGTTTCCGCATCCGCGAAGCTCCTTAAGCCACCCTCCACTCCCGATTTGTTGTATTCATAAACTGTTGCCTCACTGGCATTTAACAGGTCCGTGAGATTCACACATCTCTTCGAAGGACGACGCGGTGGTTCGTCCACACTGCTCAGCAGCTCATTTACAACCGCATGAACTTCGGCTAAGGTTGAGCAGTTGAGGAGACGCTTCTTGAGGATCTGCTGCAGGGTTTTCTGATTATCCGACGTTGCAGTGGACCCAGTGGCAATCGTTGCCAGTGATCCTCCAATTGCACCTGCTCCCAGGCATCCCAAGGAAGCCGAGTCCAGGGCTCGAGTTCCTGATGGTGTGCTGGAAAATGGCCAAGCCGCCACCTTATCCAGTTTTCCGGGGGTCAAAGGCAGCGAAGTCGTCGGCTGCTCCGTGTGCGTCCATTGGTACATCTCATAGGGCTGAGGGTTACAAAAATAAAGTCAAACTAGTTTTGGAAATGAATTCTAAGTCATATATCAAGAGGCATCTCTTCTTTCAATTTTTAAAACCAATTATGTAAACACACCATTGTGACTATTCCCTTTATATACATCCAATAACTTCTAATTGCCAGTCGAGTGGGACAAAAATAAAGGAAAAGGACAGTAAGAAGTGTAGGGAAAGAGACGGCAAGTAGTCTCCAGTGTGCGACAAGCGAGAAAGCTTAAAAGCACCTAAGTTTTCCTAAGTTCACTTTATTTTCTGCAATGCTCTTGTATCTTCCCAGCATGCAAAACTCTTTGATTTTGATGGTGCATGTCGCCGTTGACTTTTCAGTCCCACTGTGGGAATTGTATTTTCTCGTTGTCAGGTCTTAAAGGAAAATGGAGACAAGAAACAATCTGCTTAACTTTTTCTCTTCTAAAAGTAAATGCTTAGATAAAAATAAGTTTGAGTTTTCATCAAAGTCATATTGATTCTTGCCAGAAAGAATGCTTTAAAGTCTTCTGCATAGATGACCCCTAAACTAGTATCTTAACTATGACAAATGCAATTAAAATTGGGATTTAATTATGCCGTTAACAAGTGGTGCTGGGATAGTCATGCATACACACCCACACATTCAGGAGTGAGCGCTAATCAGTCAAAGATCTGGGAACTTGACAAATGCAAATCAAGTGCAACAGCCTGTCCTGATGGCTGATTTCGTAGCTGAACACACACACACACGGTATATGGGGGATATAGCTCGTGAGGGGGTTTATCCTAACAGAGGGCGGTGGGAGTGCGGCAGAGTCAAGTTTATCGCACTTTACACCATTTGTGCACAAGTGTTTGCGAGCGATTTGCATGTTGTTTGCACATTTTAAAGAGCCCAGGCAGACCGGAGTAACCCAAGGAACCCACAAGTAACTGGAGTACTACCCACTGCTCCCAGAAAACCGAAACCAAAAAGAAAAGTAGCCATAAGAGACCACATGAAGGTAAGCAAAATAACGAAAAATGCTAAGTGCAATGGTGGTAAATGGGAAAAGGGTGAAAATTGGTTGGAAATGTAACTGGCGAATTGCCATGGCAACAATTATTTGATTAAAAAAACTGAATATTTCCATTCGTCATTTTGGCTGTCTATCAATATAATATTAAAATAAATATTGGATCAATTCAAGGTCCTACTTAATTTTAAATGCCTAACATGTAAATGCTTTAAGGGGATTAAACAAAATAACATTTTGTTACACACTCCGTTTCAGCACTTAATAAGTGATTATAACACAATTTCGGCCAGTTTTCTAACTCGGTTATTTCCCAATTCCCACTTAATTAACAACAACATCATCGGTTTCTATTCAATCTAATCCCATCAGCCACTTGATACATTCCCCTATATATACAGAGTATGTATATGAAAGATACTAAGTTGAACAACAATCGAACACGCGTACGCATACACACGCAGACTGACAAACCAATAGACACGAACTTAGCAGTTACATTGCACATTGAAATCCAGTTTGCTCATTTCTGCATCAAAGTTTCGTTTATTCCGGCGGAACCCAAAGAATAATGCCAGTCGATGGGGCCGGGAAGGGAAAACTTTCGACTCCGACTCCGAGTAATAAAAACGCACAAACTTTCAATGAGCTGCAGCAACAATAACACGAAGAAACAGAAGGGACTGCGGCATAAAAAATAAGATGTAAGGGTACAGTAATCCCTGGGATATTCTAAGTCCTCCAGGAATGTGTATAAACTTACTACAGTAGAAACTATGGAAAAAAGAATCCTTGTCATTGCCTATTTCAGAACCTATTTGTTTTTCTGAGCCACCTCTATATTCTGTAAGTATTTTTTGTTAAAAAAAACTCCTCACTTTCACCTCATATAGCGATTAAGTACTGTACGAATAAAACACCAACTAAAGTCAAAGTCGAACAACGAACCTTTGACACAGCCTGTCCGTCTCTTTCGCTCCCCTGTGAACTGGCCTGTTGCCCAAAAAGTTCGAACAAATTTCAGAGACATCGTCAGACATAGATATATATATAGGAATATGTATGTATATATATACTTGGCAGCCAGTTGAAGGAATTCGTGATATCATAATCTTGAGCTCAAGTATCATCACATAGAAAATCACTTAACGGTGTCGTCTGCTGCCCTCATCCCTTGCCACCGCCCCTTTCTCGGCTATATGCGCTTGTGTTTGGGCCTCTCTGGGATTTGAGGTTAAGCTGATGTGGCTAAAACTTTTGGCCTAAACTAATTTGAGGGCTATATCTAGTGCTTCATTATTTGCGGTGGCTTTTGGTTGTTGTACGTTGTTGGTTGTTGTTTGTTGGTTGTTCCCTGTTTGTTGTTGTCGTTATTTCTGTTGTTCCCGCTGTCGCCTGTCTAATAACACTTAACTGGGTCTCGGTTTACAGCCCCCGAAATGGAAACGAGGCCAGCTTCTTGGCCTTTTTCTACAGGCCAATTAAAGCCTTCCGCCTTTTTCCCAAACTGCTTGTTTATTTAGCTTTCTGGTCAAGAGCAGTGCTAAATGCTAAATGGTAAATGGTAAATGCCCGGCTAAACTGTACCCGATGATATAGCCAACTATTAAGGAGTCCATTAGGCCCGGCAGATGAAGATGACCATCACCAGATGGTGGCCAAAGAGTTGGACAAAGAACGAGTGGATGAAAAGGAAACTGGCATTTTAGCAGGCTGATATTAGAGGTTTCAGCTTTCATGCACTCGGAGAAAAAGTTGTAGATAGTTTGACAACAAAAAATACTGGACTTAACAGGATACTTAGGGTATTCAAAAGTACCTAGCACTGGTAGTCAGAAATAGTCATGTTTCCTTTTCTCATATCGTAGTTTATCAAAATCTTAGACCTCTTCATTTTATACTCAACATTTTCTTGCAGTGTCCAGCTTGGGTTTCATAATTTCGCATGCAGCAAAACAACGAAATCAACAGCGAAAGCGTAAAATTGTTAATGCAGGCAAAGAGAACTTGGCTTTTGATAGTTGACGGCTGCCGACTGTAAAGTTTTAACAAGTTCTGACACTTGCTGGCGGGGGCGAAAGCGGAGCAAGGGGTGGGGCCAGGGTTAGATGGACAACCGCTGTAGCTCGGTTAAATGAAAGTGCAACGAAGGCTTGGTCTCCCCTTTTATTTTATTTTTTTTTCGCAATGGAATTGCTAATTTCCGGGCACAACTTTGCGGTTCAGTTTTGCACAACTTTTCGCAGGAACTTCGACGAGCAGGAGCGTTGGACGTTGGACAACGCTGCGTATGAGTAACATTATGCAGAGAGGCCATAAGTTGAAGGTCCTTGCGCCCAGCAGGCCTCGGGCTAAATCCGGACCGGCAGAGCACTGGTAAAATTAGACACGATTAGGCTGTCGAAAGTCACAGATTATCAAATTTTAAACTTGTTTGGGAATGTTTTTCATATTCAAAATTACTATTTAAGGTTTTCTAGTAAAAAAGGATGTTTTAACTTACAGTTAATCAATATTTAATATGAAACCAAAAAAATTACGACTTTTTGACCAGTGCTGATGCGACAGTCATTATCAATAGTTTTTCCTGAAACGCTAATGACTTGAAAGTTGGTTTAGCTGCCCCTTCGCCAACCCTTCACTCAGACGGTTCGTCCTTTCCCCAGCCCAAGCTCACCGCCCAACGCGCTGTCATCATTTCCTGCAGAGCCGTGGCAACTTCCGCCCCGTTAATACCCTTCAGTTAGGAGCCCCTCCCCCCGAAAGAGATGACCAATTTCCGGGGAATAAAAGTGCATTGAACTCACGCTAAATCCGCAATCCAAGTGCTCGTTGGAGATCTGCTTGAGGACGCCGACATATTTGAGATTGTTGCAGAACTGCAGAGCTAGAGTATTGAATAATTCCTGGTTGGCGTCGCTGTAGGAACTCTTCGGGTTGCTCTGCATCGTTGAGATTAGCCATTTCATCAGCATTTGACCTGCAACAAAAACATTTGTAACTGAATGAAACAACTTTGATCACAGCTGGTCCACTTATTCACTGGTTCTCCCTCTCCCGTTTTCCGAAAAGTAAAAGAAAACTTGTAGCCACTAAGCGGAGAGATTTATGGGTGGGAGACGCTTGGGGTGATTCAACTCCCAAGTGGAGAACCCTAAAAAATGTGGAATAAATAATTCTCTGGGGTGAAAGACAGACAACAAACTGGTCGGGAAATAATCCTTATCGATTGAGACACAAAGCAGATACTCTTCTGAAAATTATATCGTTCTTACATTATTAATTTATCTCTTAACAGCTCAATTATAAAAGCTGTTCCCACATTTATAGTTAACAAATACTTGTGAATGAATTCATAAGTCCACTTAACCATTTGTCTTTTTGACTATATGTCATAAAGTCGCATGACTAATACTCCGATAAGATAGCCAAAGAAACCCCTGTTAATTAAAAAAGAGTGATCAGAGTTGGGGGGAGCACGGTTTACAGATCTTTGATTCAATTTTGGTAATTAGAAATGTTTTATGCTAAGATCAGAGTTAAGCCATCCAATATATATATATAGATATTTTCTTCAATATGGTAAAATACAGATCTTGAAGAAATGCTTCTTCCTCTAACAAAAGGACTTCCTCATCAAACCAAATACCGAAACAAACTTTTTGCAGACTCAAAACCAGCAAGAAAAGAAACAAACTTACGCTGGCTGTCAGCGTGTGAGTGGGAATCAGTTTGCTGGAGCAGCAGGAGCAGATGTTGTTGGTCAGAGGTCGGGATCTCGAGCAGGTCAACGCGTATCCTGTGGATCCGTAGGCTAATTCCTCCAACATCAGGTGCCTCCTCTTTCTCCGACTTTCCCCTAGAAAATCGAGTTTTCTGCGCCCGCCGGGCGGCCAATGACATTAGCTGGAGATAATGTGGTCGGAGCTGGGCAACATCCTCCTGGGAATTCCATTGCAGAGCCAATGGATGGGCTTTCCCTTCAGATGCAAATTCGAAGTCCAATTCCTTCGATGGCTGCTTCGCCAGCAGAGAACACCAAAGTTTGCTCAGGGCACTATACATATATAGTATATATATTCTCCTCTAGGTCGACAGACCCAGTTGACTTTCTCTGTGTAATAACAAATTAAAACTGCCTACGCCAATTCGCTGGTGTGCCTTTCGATTGCCGCGAAAAATTGAAATGTTGTCAAAACTTATCAACATTATCAACGCCTTGAAAATGACATTTGCGGCACTCTCAGCTAGCTACGGTACTGAGAGAAAATATAAATATTTATAATAAAATTTGACATTTCTAATTTATAATTTCTTTTCTAGTCCTTTACGTCGAAATAATTGGTTTAATCGTATAAATATTTAAAGTCACATAAAAGTGTTATAAACTTTTCTGGAAGATATTACTGATTAAATTGATTTCTGTCTGTGTACTGATAAGACTGCAGTTGTAGAGAGAGAAAACTAGTCAAATAGAGGAACATTATTATTTGGCCCTGAGAAGGTCGAATGCTTTATCAGTCATGGTTATTTTTGATAGGTTTTCATTTCGCTCTCCATTGAATCATTTTTCTAAATTTACTAACTCAAAGAACTGAAAAAGTACGTCATTATTTCCTTAATCATCGGGGTTAAATTTCAACATAAATTAAACTGATTCAAACGTTTTTTCCTTTTCCCAAAGTTCTGCAAATTTGTTTTGGTTTTTGATTGGCTTTATCTTTTAATAGCCTAAGAACAAGTTGAGTGAGACTTTAGATAGTGGAAAAACTGACTGATAGTGTCTGCGAAATGATGTGGAAAGCGATAGATTAAATCGGTTTGAGTGAAGATTGAGTAAGGCAAATCAATCAATTTAAAGGCCCTGTAAAGTGTGTTTCAATATTTATTTTCTATTACCAGGATATCGATTATCCTGCGCTAACGCTATCACCAGAATCGGGACAACAAGATCATTAGCACCCGCCTCATGCAAAGTTGATGCTAAGGATTGCCATTTTGATACCGATGATGGCATCGGTCTGGGGGCGGAACACCGGAAGGAAGTGCCAGCTTAGCTGGCCATCGGTGGCCTCATCAGCAGGCGGTATCTTTGTAGAGTCCGTTTTTGTTGCTCCTGCCCCAACTGTCCTTGTTTTCTATTGTTGTTGCGCTTGGCCTTTATTGCCGGCGCCATCGCGGCGTTGTGGCAAACGGGCTCTGAGTTTTGATGAAAACTGCGCCACCGAGGACGCACAACAAATTTGCATAACTGCTTGCCAGGCGAATGCAACAACCATACAGAGAGAAAATATAGCCTACTTGCAATTATAGTAAAATTAAAAAGAATATCTATACAGTTTGTATAAAAAGTCAAAATAGCATTATGCTGTTATAAAAGGAATCTCAGATCAAAATATGTGTACCGTTCCTCATCACAATATTTTCTCTCAGTAGGATGAGGCTGGTGCTGGGGGCGAAGGTGGCTTAGAAGTGGGTGCTGCGATGGGTGGCAGCGGTTTTTGGCGCCTCACGCATGCATGCGTTGCATTCATCAACGGCAGAGTGGCGTCCGCTCTCTTCATTCCGACAAACAAAACGGATGAGAACGAAACGATGCCAGAAAACCACAGAGCGGAACCCAAAATGAAGCAATGAAGAAAGTGGTTAAAGCGACTTAAAATTACCCAGGAAAATATTTATATATGTTTAATTTAAAGTATGTTCCATCCTCTACGAAAATGGATTTTATGATTAAGTTTAATTTACGATTTTAGTCACACATACTTGACGTGATTAACGTGAAACTCCATATCGAAAGATTGTGCTTAACTGCGCTAAAACAAGCTAAGTCTTATTACAACTAAGATAATGAAAGTTTATTTATAACTTCCTGTAATTCCGTCTTCAATATACCAGCGACTAACGGGTATTTAAAGCAAGGAGGAAGTCAGCTTTATAGCAGCTACTTCCCTTTGCCGAAATATTGTTTCATTATGCTCTGACCAAAAAACATTGTCATCTATACTTGGTAGCAGGCAGAGCTCCTTGAAGTTGGCTTCCCCATCCAAATGGTGGCGCTCATCCCAGCCAGAATCACTTCATCCAAGCGAAGCAGGCGAACGTGATGTTGTCGGGCATATAAATCAGATTTTTGGTCCGCAAACGGTGCCGGACGTTGCCTGATGAAAAGTCGCGACAAACAGCTTCTGTAGTTGTCCCCCATCTCCCGTTCCCGTCACCGTTCTTCCCAAATTTTCCCAGTCCATCCCATCTTCCTCAAAAGCCACGAAGAATTGATGGCCACTTCAGAGACAATGACGTCGACGGCAAAAGCGCGAGATGCGAAAGGTACACAGAGAGAAATATCACTAGTTCTATATGAATATATTTGAGAGAAGGCGAATGATTTTGAGATATGATATCTGTTCGGCAATCTTGAGAAAACATTTTACAAAAGTAATAAAATTTATGAATAGAAAACATAATAATCTCTTCATTTATCATTATTGGGTGTGCCAGCCACCTTGGGTTTTTTCCAGTACAGTAAATTGCGTGACCAGCCCCACTCAACACCCTGCCTCTTTTCCCCCGAAAACAAACCCCCTCCCTGAGCTGCAGCCTCTCTTCTTCTTCGCTTGTTTGCCCAGCGAGGCGTTAAAATGTTTGTTTGCATTAATTTGCAACAGACGACAACGGGCGATGATGGCGGTGATGATGATGGCGGAGGATCAGGATCCCCGGGTGCTGAAAAGCGGCAAGGCTGACAACGATGAGCTTACCAATTAGCGCTTTTTGCCCCCACAACGCCTGCTGCCCATCGATGGGCGTGGCATGTGTCAAAAACTGCGCCTCCAAAATGTCCGCGATGCGTTTGAAGCTGAACTTTTCGGGCTTTCCACTTCTGGGCGAGTTGGGAGGATTTTTGGAAATAGTTTTCATGGAGCGCCGGAAATTTGCAGACGAAATTTTCGAACGCACAACAATGTGAGCAAAGAATATTAATACTAACAGTAGACTTTCGATACTAAAAACTTTTGCAATAAAACTTTTAGTTTAAAGTAGGTTATATGTATCTTCAAGTAGTTCAGACTAAAAATTAACTTAGAAATATTTTCGTAAAGTTACTTTAAACCGTTTAATTACAGAGTGGTACAGACACATCTCACGTGTCCAAGAATTCCAGAGATTTTCCACTCTTGGGACTCGAATTTAAAGTCTTCCCCCGAAAGTATGCCACACATTTCAGGGACGCGAAGGAGGTGGAACTTGAATGGAATACATATCCGATATGTAGTGTACGAGTATGAGTGTGCACTTCAAACACTTGAGAAAATGCTAACCTGGCAAGTTTAACCCCCTCCTCTATTTACATACAAAATTTCCCAATTATGCAATCATTCAACTTGATTTGGCTTGCTTTTCTTGACTGATTTCCAGAAGGAAATTGCAAGCAGGGCGAGGAAAGTGTGCTGGAGCTGAACCAGGCAAATTAATTGTTAACTTTAAGCAAACAACAAACGCAATCAAACGTGGAGCACCAGCAGAAAAAATGAAAGACCGAAAGGGAAGAAAACGGAAAGGGAAATAAAATTAAATGTTTCCCGAGAAACGACACAAAAGGCAAACAGTAAATGCGCAGAAATCGCAGAGGTTACCTTTATATTTCCACAGCCGAAATCCCGTTCCCCCAGCTTTTCCCTTTTTTTTCGATATTCCTGCCTTTGGCATCGCTTCACTGAAGTCGCAGATTGAAGCATAAAGATCAGCTTAAGGTGGCAAGACCACTGCGCCAATACTCTAAAAGGTTCTCTACAAACTGAATAAAAGATGATGATTTCGATTTCATAGGAGTTAATTTCAAGATAACATACTAAAGGGCGAATACTACATTAATATTTGCACTATTTCAATAAGATTATAATATTTTCCGTGGAAAAAAACCTCACATATCTCAAGAAAATTGGAAGGTTATATCAATTTAAGCAGACCTTCCGCATACCCTCCCCTTTACTTTAGAGTATTTAAACACGAATATTTGAGCAAACTTACCTTCGAACTTTTCATATGCAGCGAAGCTTAACTTTTCCGGTACATAAGATGAGCCGCGTCGCGAACCAGCTCCCCCGGCCACGCCCCCTGCTACTCCCACGGCGATTTCGGGCGGCAGGGTTGCCATCAGCAGCGCCGAAGAGACTGGAGTGGCCAGGAGGGTGGCCTCATCATTGGCGGGGCTGGAAATCGGGGGATTGGAGCTATTATTGCCCGCCGAAGACTTCTCGACCGTGAAGCTGGCGACCTTCTTCAGCACATTGCTCGACAAAAGGGGCGTGGTGGGCGTGCCGAAGCCGGGTGGCGGCGGTGGGAGTGGCAGGGGTGCCGTGTCATCCTCAACATTGTCGGAGGCTGCAGAATTCGTTTGAGACTGCACAGGTGTTTGAGATGATTTAAACGAAATTATAACAGTTGATTGCGTTTCCAGCGACGACGAGGATGTTGTAGCTCCTGCTCCCGAAAGTCCTGAATGTCCCGAAGGTCCTGTGAGTCCTGAAGCTCCTGCAAACGAACGAATGAATGACGAGGCAATGGCATTAGCTGGATAAATTTGTATAGAAATTCCTGCACCGGTATTTCTCGCGCTCTCCTGCTGCTGTTTAAATAAGTGAAAAATTGAGGATAAATGTATTCCTGGCAGCGCATAAGTCACTTCCCATAATTACTGGTTAAATTCTACAATATTCGGCAAACATTTGCCAATCATTTATCATTTCTGTTGGCGGTGGGGCGAACTGGGGAAAATTCTAAAAGGTTTGCCAATTGAATCCAAAGCTTTGCGTTTTTATTTAAATTTTAGAGGAATATTAAACAGTTTTATATTAAAACGAGCAATATTTAAATGATTTACACTCATTATGTCGGAATTTATGGATGTCAGCAAACTACAGTGCTCCCTCCTTGAAAACAAACCACCTCTCTTAAAGGCTTTCTACATTTTCTTTGGTGAGTTTAGGCTTCTTGCTCTTTAATAATGCCCCTCCTCTGAACTTCCTGAACAGCTTCATGTCAATATTCAAATGATTTACATTCATTAAATCGAAATTCATGTTCGCGGCTCCATAAAACAGTGCGGGGCAGGCGCGCCAAAAATAAACATATAATTTTTCTAGTGCATTAAATCTTCCCCAGGATCCTTGATTTCGCGTTCAAATTTTATGGTCCCTCCTCTCCGATTGAGTAGACCCTGTGGAGCGCTTATCGCAGCCCATCATCATTGACTGTGCGCCCAAGTGGCCCAGGCCGCCCCCTTTTCCGTTTTCCCTCTTCCCTGCTCTTCGATTTGGCGGATAACTCCCGCGTGCATCATTCTATATAACATGATTTAATTAAAATTTAAACTTTCGTTTTTTTTTTATTTCGTATTTTTGGCCGCTTCCCTGCGGAGCCACAATGGGGAATCAACAAAGTCGGGGAAAAGGAAGCTGAAGCTGAGCCTGAAGCGCCTGTTTCCGGCCAACATTTTGTAAACAATGAAGACGTGTTTGCAATTTTTAAGTTTTTACAAATGTTTTTTGTGTCGGTAGTATTTTTCTGGGGTATACGACGATATGCCCCAGCCAGAGGCCCGGAAAAATCAGCCAACCATGCTTGCTTTTGTTTATTTTTTGTTTATCGAGCTGGGCGAGTTGGGCCAACGCAATTAGGTGGATTTCGGAGGAGGGGCAGGGAAAGGGTAGGGGCAATGGCAATGCCAGGGATGTTGCCAGTTTCGGGAGCAATTATATATTTAAAATATCATGTGGGGGCAGAGGAAAACGAGTCCTCGCATAAATGTGCCAATAATTACTTTGGGTCCCTGCTTGTTTTTGTTCAATCTTTTTTTTACAGCGTTTTTCTCGCGCTTTTTTGTGTTTTCAAAAGCGCCGCTGATCGGATCAGTTTTGAAAACAAAGAGTGTCGGTTGGGAAAACCGAGGAAAATGGGAGGGACGTTTGCTACATGAGTTAATTAAAAAACTTTGTATTGGGGTCCAAGGCCAACACCCTTTTTTGCTTGTGGTTTTCTTTTTCTATGGCGTTTTCTAAGATAAGTAAGGGAAATTCATGTAATTACTCGCACTCTCTATTATACACAAATATTTTGGCTCTTTAAAGTCTTACCGAATTATGGTATTTTTTATTTCCTGGTTTCATTCTATCATTGTCCTTGCCATACGTTGTCATAAGAATGTGGAAAAACTAAACCATTTCTGTACTAAGCTTACTGAATTCGTATAACCCCTTCTTAGCCGAAAGTAACACAAATTTGTTATGAGTTTTCAACAAGTGCTAGGGCGTAGACTATTCCCCTTTTCTTTGCTGTCACCTTCCAAGAGGACGAGGGGCACTTCAATTTCGAAGGAGGGGAGGCATACTCAAAACTACAGTTTGACAAGCACTTCTGGGCGACCCGTGTTTACCTTTGAAATTGGCGCAGAGCGAAATAAGCAACAATCTGCACAAAAAAGGGACAACCTTTTAGACATGTCTCATTCCCCACTTTTTTTTTTGGCAGTCGAGCTGAAGGACCACTCTCCAGAGCACACACATATGGCTACAAGAGGGACTCAACAAACAAGGCCAGAACTGGTAGATTGGTAACTTTGAAGGGCAGAGGTATAAGCTTTTTAAATTATTCATGCAAGTTTTTAAAACTTTCTGCCGTGGGTAATACTATTAATGGCATTTCGATTCGTTAATCAGTAATTGCTTTATGCAAACTGTGTACTAATTTAATTTCAGACCTTACTAAACAATAAACTCTATCTGCGATCCTTAAATTGCTTTAAACATTTTGCATATTTTATCTGCAGTTTTAAAATTTTCTCTTTTGTCTAAAATGGTTTTATTTGTTCGGATTGGAGGTCGTTTGAAATTAAATTAATTGATGTCCCCGGGCCGAAAAACACACGATAAACAAGAAGTTTTAATAAAAGTTAAATAAAAAGCAATTAGTTTAACTTGTTATTTACACTTCATCGCAGTTTTCCATAAATTGAAAATTATTATTTTAAATAATATATTTGTAAGATAATTTTTATGTATACTTAGTAGCAACATCATTGCTTTTCCCTTCTGAATTTGTTGCAAATGAAAATGTATTTGGGAAATTACTGATTTTCTTAACTCTAAACCTTCTCTTACCTGTTTCATTTGGTGTTAATGAGGAAGCTCCTGGCGGCGTTTGGCTGACGGCGGCTGTAAATCGGGAGGACAGGTTCTGCAGCTCGACCTTCTTGGCCTTGGACACGTTGAAGAGTTCCCCATTGCCCAGGGGTGAATCAACGCGAGGTCCCGATTCCATGTTTCCCGGGGTCAAAGGGGTTCCCGATCCACTGCCCAAGACTTGGGCCAGCTTCTTGCCCAACTGCAGGGCCATGAGTTCTTCGTCCGGCGAACTCTCCGCTGGGCTATTTGGCGCTACCAAAAGACCGGTATTGAGCAATGCAGCCTGGTCCACCTCCTCGACTCCCTGAGGATCATTGGCTATGCTGAGGTAGGTGACTCGAGTTAGGCTCAGGCAGGCCAACTTATCTGCTCGGCAGCGCTTCTGCAGTTCGAGGACTGCCTTCGCGGTGTTCGGGGAAAGGGTGTCCACCGAAGTCACACTTATTTCGCTCAGTGGACGATCGCGCTTCGACTTTTGATTTAGATCGGTCTTAGCTGCATTTAAATACTGCTTGGATATGATCAGCTCGTCCACGGGATCTGTGAATAGGGAATCATTGCTTGAACAACTTGTGCACAACGACCTCCGATCGTAGGGGTAATGGAGATTCTTTTGATGGGTTTGATGATTGTGAGGATGATGTTGCCTCTGTCGCTGCTGCAGTTCCTGATGCTGGTGCTGAGTTAGGGTATCATTGGAGGCATAGCAACAGTCGTCGCTGCTGCAGTTGTGGTACTCTAAAGAGTCGGTGTAATCCAAACTGACCACGTCGTCTGCATTTTCGGTTAGCAGTTATAGAGTATTAGGGTTAAATAGAGAAAGAGACAATCTTGATAGAGAAATATATAGATTGTGGAGAGGTTGCCAAGCATCTTTAATGGTGTCTTTGGAACTCAACAAAATGATAAATGGTAATCAAATAGTTATAGCTTGACTTTCCGAATAATTTTCACCAAAGTACCGCACATGACTGCGATGAGCTCGTTGTTCAAATATTTGGAATTAAATAAAACAGACCGCGAGTGATTTATATGCCATTAATCCGCGACGGCGATGGCTCGTTCATAAAAACGCGACATGTGTAAGAAATAATAATTAAGGAAAAGTAAATAAACAGAAGGCGCCACTGGAAGCCGAAAGAGAGTGTAAAAATAAGAGAAAAAGAAGAGAGAACTATCTCAGAGAGACAGAAAACTGGAAAGCCGCAAAATTATGAAAATCCATACGGAAAACGGTCAAATGGAAGGTAAAACAGAGGGGAAAAAGGTGTGTGCTTGCTGCGGGCCAAATGAAAATGAAAATGGAAAAGGTTCGAGAAAATCCCCCAAAAGGTAAACAAAGAAAATTGTACAAAACAGAACTCGAAAACTGGTTTCGGTTTGGTTTATGGAAAAGAGAGATGGGGACCCCTGAAAAGCAAGCGTTGGCGTCACTTGCCTTCTCTCTTTCAAAAGTAAATTGTTTAATTTGTTGTCCATGGGCAATTAAGGCAAATTGAAAGCAAAACAAAACCCAAACTGAAGAGATGGACACCGATAACAAAGGAAAAGTACTCCCTTTTCCAAGATAAAAGAAAAGTAGGAAAGGAACACCAAATAAACACCTGTGGATTGCTAATTCTGTCATTTGTACGACACTTTTTGTCACTTTTCACACTTTGCCACACCGTATTGGTATCTGGCCTTCTGTACTTTGTTTTTATTTTGGTAATATCTATTTTCCTGGTCAGCTTTGGGCGGAGATTTCAACATGGAACGATCTACAGTTATAGCTCTTTTTCAACGGCCAACGATCGTAGTTTCGTGACTGAAAGCGACCGAGTTCAAAGCGTTACTAACAACCAACTGGTTTGCCAAGGGGGAACGGAATTCAAGACCCATTGGGAAGTCAAAAGCCGCACAACAAAGCGACAGAGAGAAATGGGGAGAGACCGAGAGAGAGACAGAGAGAGAGAGCGGGATTGAACATACAGAGAGAACCCCCAGAGAAATATATAAATGTATATGCATATATACACTTTTTGTTGACGGTCTTAAGCTCGAGTTACATGAAACGAAAGCAGAGCAGAAACGCGGAAAAGATCATATGAGATATGATCGGCGACAAGATACCTATTATATGGATAGTATAAATATAATTAGATAGAAATAGTTCTTATATATTATTATAGGAAGTACTCTAAGGAAATGTTTAATTATAGGATTTTCCTATTTTGCATTTCTCTAAACGAATTTCCAATTATGATTTTTAAGTCTAATCTAAGTGCTCCTCTAAGAACAAAATAAAATAAAAAGTATTGTTTTATGTAGTGAGTTTTGCCTTTTACACACTCTTTAAGACATACAGGTCCACAAACTCAGCATACCCAACACTTTGGAAATGGAAACTACTCATTAGCAAGACAGCGACGTCGAGGGCAAAATCGCATGTTTTTTTTAGCGAGGCTGAGCTTACCCGCAACCACTGTAGCTGAAGTTGTTGGTGTTGCTTCAGTGGTTTCTGCAAAAAGCTGCTCAATGAACGCACAGTGGTCCTCGCTAGGGACTTTTTCTGACCGGATTTTTCGGGGTTTCGGTGGGGGTTTCGGTGGAGGTTGCGGTGCTATTCGCCTTTTTCGAGGTTGCTTGGTCAATGGTGGAATTTCCCTGAATTTGTTGCTCCTCCCCGGGCAGGATTCCCAAGGATTCCTCTGCATCTGGGATATTTTTTGATTGAACCGTGATCTGACAAAGTCGACTCCAGCTACAGTCATCCTCATTTTCCACACGTATCTGAAGTTGCTTTTTCAATCTTGGAGGCTTCGCGGGCGCTTTACAAATGATAAAGTCAGTTTGCATACTTTTGTGCTGCAGCATTTTAAAAATCTAGTATTTTTCAAAGTGAAGAATGTAGATGCCTCGCCACACTTCTCTCAAATGGAATGTATCATTCTATAATGTTTTTTGGCTAGATGGAAAATGTTGCTGAGAGGCAAGCCAATGGGCTAGATGATCTTATGATCTTATTTTACATTTTAGATGAATTTTGTATAGATAATTCGGACATTTTCAGAAAACTGACAAATCCCATAAATGCTACTGTGGGGAAGCTAGATAAAAAATTGGTATGTTCTGAACTGTGAAACTGTTTGGTGGACTTGCACATGACTTCATAGTTTGAATATTTGTTAATATGACATTTGATTACATTTGCATTTGAGCTTGACTAATAACTCAGTTTATCCTGCACTTAATCATTCTATATTTAATTCCCGACCAAATATCATCAAGCGCTCCCAAAAGTATGCAAAGCGAATTTCGGTTTGGAATGTTTAGTATTTAAAACGCTCAATTATTGCAATATTAAAAACAAATTGTAAACAACATTAAGCAGTTGTTAAAACTACACACACACACAGTCAGGCAAATGGGATGGTAGATGAGTGAGTTTGCAACTTTACATGGAAATGTACAAGCGAAACTATTAAAACTAATTGCCATAAATATTAGCGGCCAGCCACGTGCCATGCCAAAAAACTTTTCCACCATAATGTGCCCCTCCATACATGTGTTGGTATTACTCTGTGTGTGTGTGTGTATTAGCGTGGGTGTGGGCGTTTAATTGAGCACGTTGCTAAACTCCGCCAAAGGCTGCAGTTTCCCAAAAAAAGGAGTCCTAAGCCAAAACTCAGCGAAGGGATGGTAAATCCACCCATTTCCCCGAATTTTCCTGCGCTTTCCCATCTGCTTTGGGGTATTTGATTTCGTTTGCCCAACTTGTGGATGTGTTTTCTCTTCAATGGTGGGAGAAACTAGGAAACCATGGTTTTTGGCTCCTCATCAAATAATGCTCAACCGTCGTATTTATTTCACAAACAGATTGCTTTCTATAAATAACCATCATTTAATTTAAATTAATTGTACTAATTTAATATTCAAGATAAATCTGCAATTTATTAGGTCAATTTACTAGTCAATTTCCTGATGGTTTTTGGGTTACATGGAATATGGTACAGGGTACACACTGCTGTCGAGCCGGACTGACTGACTGTACTTTATTCCTTGAGCCTTATGTGATTTGTAGGGGGTTTCTTTCTGCCCCACCCTGCACCCCCTGCAAGAGCCTCTTTCTTGGCGCCATGAATTATGAATTTATGCATTGAAAAAGGCACCAAAACAGCTGGGTGCGTGCGAGTGAATGAAAGGGCGCATGGTGTTGGGAGCTACAGCAACATCTATATCATCGTTTTTGGCTGAAAGGGAATTTTTGATATGGAAACCTCCCTGGCTCTCGCGTGCGCCAATCCCTCCCACTTTCCCATGGCGCGGCACGTTTAGGATTTTTCGTTGATTTGATTTTAGGCTTTGCCCCGCTGCAATGCCAAAAAGCTTCTTGCACTCGCTGGCTGGGGGAGGTGGTTTTTAGCGGGGCAGTGGGTATTCTGAAGCATCTCTTTTCCACTCTGAATCGCTTTTTGATATGCGCCTCAGCCTTGAACGCGTTTTTCGCATCTTTCTAAATGCCCGCGAAAAACCGAAACCCCAAAAGTAGTCCACCAAAAAAGTTTGAAAGAACCATTTCGGCTTTAATGCATTTTAAGACCAAAAAGTGAAATTCCATTCAAATTACAGAAGGTCTTAATATTACTAATCGTTATATGTCCGCATACTTCTCTCTAGAAAAATTACTGCTATAACATGATCATAGCTACCTAAACATTATGATTTTATTACATTATCATTACTTATCAATAATTGATCAGCAAATAACCCCCTTTAATTCCAAGAAGTTATTTTGTAAATTGAAAAGCATATGCCAGTAAAACATCCCCCTGCCGTTCAAAACTATTTCCTTCGCTAACAAGAGCATTAGGAGTTCAGTTTCGTTGGTCGAAACCCTTTCCCACCATCGAAATATTTTCCCAGCTTTGAGTGATTTTTTTGGCGCTTTTCTTTTTAATCTTTTTTCTGGGTTGAACGAGACGCCTGCAGCTTTTGAACTCGACGCGTTTTTCTTATGGCTGTTAATAGACAGTCGTGAGTTTTTGAAGTGGGTCTCAGTTCCTCGGTCCTGTTTTTGGGTTCTGTTTTGTGTTTCTGATGCTTTTTTTTTGTTATTTTTTCGCTTTTCAGTTTCCCAGTTGCTGAGTTATGATGGCGAACGTGCTTTTGAGCTTCTGTTTGTGTTTCGGTGTGTGTGTGTGTTCTGCTTGGCTTAATATTTTTAAAGGGGGCATCTTAAAGATTTCACATGAATAACTAAAATCTATAAATTTTTGATTTCACTTTGCCGAAAAAAGGAAGAAAAACAGGAGCACACTAAGTAAAAAATATTATTTTGCCAAGGCGAAATGCCAATAAGTTACAAGGAGCCCAAAGTTTTCGGCTTCGATGAGGGATGGATGATATATAAGAGGGGGAAGAAGGGGATTTTTCGTAACAGACGAAGGTGCCACAACAACAACAACAACAACAAATATAACAACAGAAGGAAGCTGCAAAATTCGGAAAAGTCAAGAGTGATGAAAAGGGGGTAAAAGTAAGGAAGGGTGAAGAAAATTTCATAAAAAAGTTTATTTTTTGTTCGCTCTCCATTGTTGTTGTAAAAGTTTTCCAAAAATTCTTATTTAAACTCTGCTTAAATTGCAATAAAGTCGAGTTGAAGAGAGTTTGATGGACAGTCTGTCTCAATAGGTTAAGGTTCCGATATAGGATTTTATAATCAAAATAATAGCAATATTATATTTATGTTGAATATGTTAACCAAGAATAGGCAGGATTATATTTTCAATTCCTAAATACCTAACGATAGCAAAAATTATCCATTTAAATGTCAATTATTGCCTCCTCCCTTCTGTGACATATTTAATTGCTGCCGCATTGGGTTTCCCATTAAGTAAAAAAGTTGTCAATTTCGTTGTTAACCGATTGTCAGCTGCAGTTAGTTGACAATGGAGCTTACAGCTCCGAGACGCACTGTACTCTGGAGCTGTAGAGTTGTATATTAAAACAAAAGTCCCCCACAAAAAGTTGAAAATAAGAGTAGAGGAAATCCAAGGCAACAAAAGAGGTAAAAAATAAAGTTGGCATATTGAAAAATGCAAGGAGGGAAAAGGGGTGGGGCGAGGGGGTTTTAGAAATAGAAAAAAAGCTGACAAACTGAATTTGATGCACACCAACAATAACATCCAGAATTACAACAAGAAATAAAGTTAAGTCCTCAGCAAGGAATCAACAATATAAATAGCAACAACAAAGAGTGGTGGCTACACAGAGAAAAAACTTAAGTGGTTTTGTATTTATAAGATTTTCAGGAAATGTTATCATTTAAAATTAAGATTTTAGGAATTTCACAGAAATAATTATGTTTAAAAATACTTTAGTAAAGTGCGTAATGATTTTGGGATTAGTTATTTTTCTCTGTGCATAGCTATGGGAAACTTTGGAATTGACTTACGAAAATCTATTTGTTCGGCGCTGGCATCCATTTGTCCATGCTCCACTTCCGTTTCCGCTGCGGTCCAATCGCCACTTCCGTCTCCGCCGCCGCCCTCCAAATTGACCTCCAGACTCGATCCCATTTTTGGCGAGTGTAGGAATGCCTCGCGAATGCGTTTCTGACCCATCAAACGGCTGAGGACGCGAACTCGGCTGTTCCTCCTATCCGCAAGGGCTCCGCCCACACCGCCAGCGCTACCGCCACCTGGCATTCCCATCCGCACCAGACTGGCGCCACCTGGCGGTGACTTCTCATCGCCGCTCGCCGCCCGATTTTGCGAATTTCCCATGATGATGTTGTTGCTACCGTTGTTGTGGTCGTGCTGCAAAAGAAGTTTACAAAAATCAATTAAAAAACTTTTCAATCAGTCGCATTGTTTGCCTCGGGCTTTCAACCATTTTTTCTTCCTACATTTTTACCAGGTTTACTCTATGAATTTGTGGAGGTTTTCTGAAGTGGGAGTTGGAATTTCTGAGCTGGGTGGCCAAATATATAATTTAAGCTGCGTTTACTGCAAATAAAATCTTAAATAATTCGACTTGTGATTGGGCTGTTGGTGTAGGTTCTCAGGAGTTCTTGAGGAACTTCCGTCAGTCAGTAATCTAATTAGTTAATTTTATAAACCCCTTTAAGAGCATTCATTATTCGCTTAAACGAACAACTAATTTCCGACTATTTTTTGTCTTTTTATCAGAGGTAAAAACTTTTTTGTTGGGAAAATGTTGCAGAAATATGAAATGAATTAGTTGCCAGGTAGCTGAAGGGGTCTGCCATGGTTGACAAAAAGTTGCTACTTTAGTTGTTTGATTTCTAAAGGCAAGTTCATTTGCTGGGGATGCTGGAAAATAAGAAGGGTAGGGGTTCTTCTGCGGCCGATTCTGTTGCTGTGTGTCAATAGTCGAGATCCCGAGGCCATCGAAATTGCAGCTGCATCTGAATGAGAAATCGTTGTTCTCCTCCGGTCCTGCTCCCAACTGCAAATTGAACTTTTACTTTTTAGCAACTTTGGACGACGGATTTTCCATCGACAATGATCATTAAAGAGAGATTTGGGGTATTCCACAAAAGGTTGGGGGACAACCTTTGTTGGACATCTGTCCGCTGCTCGTAAGTTTGCTACCTATATTGAAATCCATTTGCATTTTCACAGAAGTTTACGAATTCAAGGTTTGCGGAATTATTTAACAATTATAAATTGTATCTTACTTATATTTGCTTATATATTTGGATATCATTCAGCAGTCGGTGTAAGAAACCTGTTTAAAGGCGTGATTTGCTGCCATAAATGGCACTACCTATTTTTCATTTGTTTACCTTTCACCCATTTCCTTATCTATATCCCTAAAAGTTGTTTGGTTTCCACCCGCGACACTTTCTTATCTTTAACTGAACCCAAGTTTGTGTTTTTGTTGACGCGTTTGGCTATCTCACACCCGATAAAATCACCTTGGCCATCATATCAATCAAGTTCAATGACTTAATATTTCGCACTACCATACAAACTTTCAAATTTTATTAATCACAAAGAGAGAAAATGTGAGAAATTTAAAGAGCAGAGGCGAGAAGTATTCTTGAAACTCACGGCTCTATCATAAATCACAATAAAAACAAATTAGGGAATTTTTTTATCGGACGGGGCTTAAGAAGCCACCTTGTTTTTATTAGGCCTCGGAAAATGGGCGACTAATTGAAATACTCGAAGGGGATGGTGAGGGGGAGGGGTGCTAAAAATTGTTCGCCAAAATTAATTGGCAGCAATAAATTGTTGGCTGTTGTCCGCCCACGTGACTCATTTTCAGCTTTTCTTCCCTTATTTGTTGTTCCTTTTTTGCTTGGCAATAATAAGTAGCAGGACAGGAGTTTTAACACCCTTTTTTAATGAATTTTAAATTTAAATTACGGACTTATTAAATTATAAACAAGTTCATTCATATTTTGAAGGACATTTTAAACTCTTCTAATCTGCCTAACATGTATTACAGAGTTAGGGTATTCCAATAAGTTTATTCTCCCCAACTCTCAGCTGTTTGCTGTCCTTCGCACAAATCAGTTTTCAATTATGAGGAAAATAAAAACCTGAAGTGTAATGAGGGGAAAAGTGGTACGGGGGAGGGAAAAGAGGCCATTTCAAAGGAAAGCCACGCGAAACACATTTTCTTAATTGTGTCAAAAGCGCAATTTTGTGCAATTTGTGTGAAATGAAAGCGAAAGTAAGGCCCACAAAACACATATATACATATACAAAGGTAAGGCGAAAGCTTACGCATCTGAAACTCACACCCACCAGTTGAAAAGGGAGGGCAGTGCCAGCGACTCTCCCTCTCTTTCTTCCGGTGCAATTTGTTGGACAAATCTGCCTTCGTTTTTTTCCTCTTTACGGGCGCGGCAAACTTAAATTTCTCTCTTTCACTCGCTTGTTCTTTTTTATTTTGATTGTGTTGAGGGGATTTTTCCTTTTTGTGTTTTCTGTGTGTGCTTGCTAATGCGTCAAGTTCGTGAGTTTTCCTATTTCCGCACTTCGGTTTCACTTGGAATACCGCTGATTAGTTCTGCGATTCGGCAATATCCGTTTCCGCCTGGCATTTCTGGCTTTTCTTTGGCTCATGGCCAGCGCGCACAACAAACTATAACTATTATATTCACTATTTAATTGCAAAGTGCAGGAAGGGCTCGAAATGCAACTGCAGCTGTCAGATGAAGTGTCACAACAAATCGGACGCCGAAGGAAAACCCGAGTGCAAATCAGCTGACTCACGGTCCTAGGACAACAAAAACCACGAGAAACACGAGCCACCAGCGGGAAAAATCGATGGCACACTGACTGGAGCTCTGGCGTAATCGGAGAACCTGTCTCCCCGAGAGAGAGAAGGCAGAGAAACCCTTAGTATTCCGGAGAGAGAAAGAGAGAACGCAGCCTGATAACAGCTGAGCGCCTGTGTTATGCTTTGTTTATTACTTTTCGGTTTTTGGCAAAGGTTGTTGCTTTTTGGACTTTTCAAATACTCTACAAAAAGAGCATATTAAAAGGATATTGAAGATGTAAGATATTTATCAAAGTTATAAGAAGATTTGATTTCAAAAGAAAATAAGAATATATAATAAAAGAAGAATAAATGTATCATAATCTACTATTAAAAGGTTTTTATGAAATAATAATGTGAAAAATCAGGAATATTTCCCTATATAACTCTGCATTTTTTTTCATTATGAAATACAAAAATTATTCATAAAGCTCTGAGTAATTTGTTTTGCTAATTTCTAAATGCTATTCCCTTTTAAGAATGTATTTTTAGTAGCCGCATCAGAAGATCTTCATTAGTCACGAGTTGCTCGAAGATCCCCTTTAAAAGTAGCTCCCATCTCGGTCAGGCAAATCGAATCCGATGGCTCATTAGCATTGCCGGGAATCGGGGATTTAATGTCGGGGTTACGGTATCGGGGCACTCGGCATGAGTCATTGTCCGGGCCCAATCAGCGGACTCACAAATCGTACTCACACACGGATATTCAACGGCGGAGCCGCACAAACACAAATGCCACTGGTCCCCCAGGCAATTGCAATTGTGATTTTATGAGCTTTTCCGGACAAGCTTCAGTGTGGGGCTTTGAGCATCGATAGCCTGGGCTCTGCCGTTGCGCTTTATTCGTAGTCTGCACTGAAGAAAATCTGTATACTATTTAAGATTTATACTTATTTCTAAGAATTTGTAAATGAAAGTGTGCATTGACCAACAGAAACGACAACCTAAGTAGAAAAAGAAATTCAAATCGATTTGAGATAAGACTTTCTTCGAGTGTAGACATGCTTATCAAGCCCACCTCTCCCATTTTCAACTCGCCTTTCTCTCCTCAACCTTTGGGCAGTGTGAATAAACGGACTTTGCATGCATAAAAATACAATTCTATTTACTCATTTATAAATGCGACAATAAAATGTTTAGCTCGGCCTGAATGGATGATTAAGGAGGGGTTTAAATTTGAACGAGGAGGAGTTTCCACTTCTCGGACGATGATGTAACATGCCGAATGGAACTCGTTTAATGGATTGTTCTTCTTGTTTTCCTGCTGGTCAGCTTTATTGTGATTTTCTTATGTTTTCCCAATGGAAATAAAATGATAAAAATACGCATTTATCGATTGTAGAAGTAATGGGGGAAATACCCTGATTGTTGGACTGTTTAGAAATAATAAATGTTTTTTATTTTTAAGTTAACACTTTACTTTGTGACAGAAATATCTAAAAAGTTGATACCCGAAACCACACCGAAAAGAATACTTTATACCCACTCTCGGTTAGGGCATTAAAATCGTATTATTCTTTATCTTTACTTTTGTTTTTATTGTTTCTTTTTTTGTTTTGTTGGGGCGTTAATTTTTGCGACTTTTCGCACATTTCTTATTTGCTTTTGTGGGTCATGAGCATGTGTGTGAATTGAGTGATTGTTGTTGCTGGAGTGGGTGCACCTGAAAAAAGTTGTATATGATTTATGCTATGTTAATATAATATTTCAAAGGAGCTGTTATGAAGAATTCCAACTTGTTGTTATACAAAGGAAAGGAAGAAGTTAAAAGATGGAGGAATGTGTTTCAAACTTGTTTCACCTGAGGAAATCGAAATGGATATGCTTTTTTCTCTGTGCAGTGTATATCGCAGTTGTAGCTGCTGCTGCTCAGCTGATAAGCCGTTTATTGCTGCCGGGCACTCTGATAAGAAACGGACTTACGGATGGGCAAATGGTCGGATGGACAGACTGACAGTCGGACAACTGGACATACTTTGCCAGGGTCACGTTCCCGGAATCGGATTAGATTTATGCATTTCGTAACTCATTAGCCGACTCAGATGCGATTTGCCCGACTAACGAAGGGAGAGTCGCTCGACGGCAAAGCCTTTTTAATTAGCTCATGAAAGATTTCCCAATTTAATTGGACTTAATGCATGCTGGGGAATGGAGAGGGATGTGGGAGTGGTAATGGAAGAGGGGGCACTGTGCCACGCAAAGTTCGCTCCACGAAATGTTGCAACTTGGATCTGGGGTTTTGGGACTGGCTTGGATTTTAATTAATTTTACACGACATCGTCGGTGTGCCGAGGCCTTGGGAATGCATTTTGACACATTGTTTGACAAATTTCCAGTCGCTGGGGATACACAGATACACTCGCACACACCGCCAACAAAAGATACACCCCGAAGGATCCGGAAAAAGTCGGCAAAGACAGGAGTTGCAGGTAACAGAATCATCAAAGCTAAACTTGACGGCAACTTGTGCCGTTGACGCACAAGTTTAATGCCAAAAGGCAACGCAAAGCTGCCGGCGAAGCGGACTACAAAATGGAATGATTCAAGGGCGGTGTCTGAAGGGGGGTCTGAGATAGAATACTAAGTCTGTGACCCATTAGTATCCATTTATCTCTTAGCTTTCTTAAATTAGCCTGATTTTATGAAAAGCAAACGTTGAGCTTGAAGTTCAGACAAAGAACTTGACTTATTCAAATTTTATCCCTTATGTCGTGCGCCCCTGTCATCCATACGCAGGTGCAGTGAACACAACTATGTTGCACTAACTGCGCTTTCTGGCAGAGCGCAAAATGTCGCCGCAACAAGGCGTATGAGCAACGCCTGAGCCAAGCACAAATAGCAACAATGGCAACAACAATCATCATCTGGCCGGAGCATCCAATACGCTCCAGGGGCACCTAAAACAACCGCCCACCACCCACTTTTTGGGACTGCTTTTCACTCAGTTTTTGAACCCAGTTTTGCCCCGTTTTAACCCCGTTCGATGCAATGACAAAGTCAGTTATGGTCAATAAAAAGCAATGCGACAATGAGAAAACGCCAGCTATTGGGATATTGCTGCGATGTGGGTGCACTGAGAAATGAGTTGTTAATTCGCTTTATCACTTTCAAATGCTCACATTACCTGAAGAAATATGTTGTAGGAAAGTTCATTGAACAGAAAAAAGTAGTTTTAGTCTTAGAATCAACTTGTATTACCTAATTTCAGACCTTTTTAAGTTCCTGTGTAGCGATTTTTGGGTTTGGCAAATGGAAGATACGACGGCAGTTTTGGTTTTGCGGACAGCAGATGGCGCTCGATTGCACCGGTGGCCGTTGCCCTAAAGATGATAGCGTGAAATTGTACGGAATTGGCTAAAAGGGGTCAAAAACGTGGGCGGTGAAGCAAAATGCCCGCCGGATTGGGAGCCTAATGACGCCGTGTTTTGCGGGTATAAGCAGGATGAATAGGTACCTCTCGTACGAATGAGTAATGCATTGAAATAAAGCTTCTTAAATGTCACCATACCAATCACATTTAGTAAGTACTAAGATAAAGTCCTTTCAAGTTGAAATTTATGCTTAAAGACTTACTTACGCAATTAGTTCTCTTTTAGGAAAGGCAACTCTCTTCAAAATCAACGCCCGCCTAATCAATCCAGTTAGCCCAAGGGTGTTATCCAGTGATTCGTTTAAAACCGTTAAAGCAGACCTTGAATAAGCGAACGGAACTTGGTCCCTCGACACTACAAAATTGACTTGCAAACCTGAAATTGCGTTTGCCCCGAAAAATCAGCAGAAATGCAACCGCAATTTTGCAGAAACCACTTTTAGGGCTCTCCGAAAATCATCGCACAAGTTTGACCAGAAAAAACTGTCCGTGTTGCGTCGAAATGAAAATTATTTTAAATTATAGCCCTGCCGCCCCATCCACCGGCCACCACAACCACATGTTAGCCCAAAAATGCCAGAGACAGGTTACGAAAATGTATCCTGGTTGGAGAGAAAACACATTTTGGACATTTTGTATTGCAAGTTGGTCCAGTTCTCATTTTTTATTTGTGTTGAGTTGATTCCAACTGTGAAAACTAATTCCAAATTGGTGGTTGGGTGGAGTGTAAATAATACAATCGTTGTGCCAGCAATGTTGTTACCTTTAGTTAATATTTAAATATTAACGATATAAAATAACTTTATAATTTGGTTTGATTAAAATTTCTTCTTGAAGATCTCTTAAAATTAGAATACCTCCTTTCCTGGACATTCAAGCTTTTAAAAGCGTGCTTACTTAAATGAGTTTTTCCTGGATAGCTTGTAATGACAGTACCGACACAGGGCAACACCCTTACACCCTCCCTCAAACACACACACCCACACCCAATTGGGGAAGAGAGACAGACAGATCGGGCACACTCGCAGCGGGCACCGCTTGCAGTGCTGCAACTTTAATTGCTTTGGTGGTTTGTGCCAAATTAGATTCTGCGGTTTTGTCGCGTCGCCATTCCGGTAATCGAGGGTGCACTGTACCGGGGGTTGTCGGGAGGTGTCTTGGCCATGGCCTTTCCCCTAACTCCGTCCGACGGAAGCCAAAAGCTGACGCTGACGCCCATCAATTAAACTTGTCAATGAGAATGCCAGGCAGCAGCATCAGCTGAATAGCAGAAAGAGCGACAAGAACCCGGGGAATAAGAATTAATGGTAAGGGATGGGGCTGCATAGGGTTAAGCAAGCGTCATAGAAGGGAGCTAAAACCCTACTTCAACCGAAAGTTAACTACATTTCACCCGCTCTTCACTGCCATTCAAATTAGGTTTCTGTTCAAGACATGCATACGTGTAATTGGATTGCAGTTTTAGAAATTTCATTCTGTGACATTTTACGTGGGTAACATTATTTACAAGACTTCTTTTCAATAGTTTAAACTTATCAAATTACAGATATCTTTAGATCATTTGGATTTGGGTTGCCATACTGTGGTTCCTTTACATATTAAATTTACTATTCTTCCTACACATTCTCTGTTTTTCCAAGACCAGCTTACACATTAAGGATGGCCTTCGGCAGGACCAACATAAAAACATCCAGAGTTCTGAATGCAATCAACAAGGTCCCTGGGATAAGCAGCTCTACATACATACGCCGTGTAAATTTTATCCCACTTTCAGCTGTGCTCTGTATTTTTTTTTGAATATTTGAAAAGGAAACTTAAGGAAAAATGCGGGCTGTCTACCGAAATTTCCATTCTCGGAAGCCGCGGGCCATTGACATGACTCTCCGGTCTCTGGATTTATCCTGTTGGTCCTGTCGTTATGGACGCTGTCCTATCTACCATCTCAACAATTGTACGCACCGAGAAATTGATTTATTTTGTTTACGCCAAAACAGCAAAAAGTTTACCACATCTTCTGCCCGCCCCCTCCTTTGCCTTCGGCCAATTTTAGTTGGCTTATTCCTGTGTTTCTTCTGCACAGAAAACAATTTTGCAGGTATAAAGGGAACCAATATTTTATCATTAACTATATTTCTTCCTATTTTACCTTTAAGTGCATCGAAAGGTACAACCAAAAAACTATTTTTGGCACAGGGTTTGACCTGAAACTGACCTAACTCACTAAGTTTTTTCTCCCTATGCAGCACTTCGTTATCTGCTCCTTGTGAACAGTTGGGCTAATCCTAATGCTTTCTAATTACATTGGCCAGCAAGTCAACATAGCCAAGGCCAAGTTTTCCCCTCTGTCTATTTGAGTTGGCCATGTCCGCTGTCTACTTTTCAGCCCGCTTATCATTTTTTAGCCCTGGCTTAAAGACACTCCTAATTATTGGCCCTCTGGCCAAGAATGCGTCCATTGAACTGGCTTTCTGGATACTTTGTTTTTGCTGCTGAGCCGTGTTTATGAGGGTGCGACGACACCTGGCGACATCAATTAGGGGGACAGCCAGGGGATTCTGGAGAGGCTTTTTACTGCGATGGGAAATGGGGCAAGGGGGCGAAGTTCGTCTGACCGACAAAAAGTCAAAAGATGGCTGCACTTTTATTTTCCCTGGAAATCGTGAAGGAGGGTTTCTTAGGGGTGCGAATGGAAAGTTCTTGCTGTCTTCGTTGTATATTCTATTTGATAATAAGGTTGGTCTCCATGGGCAGTAAAAACTAATTTAAATTTCGAATTACTTGTGATCCGCAATACTCTTAATCATTTTAGTTTCTATACAAAAGTGCATATGTTCAAGATGCTCTCAGCTTAAGGAAATATTATTATGCATTTCATGCGCGAACATAGAGCGCCACCGGCCTAACAAGCGTTTATATTTATTTCCTTGTATAAAAAATTTTTTTCTCCTTCTGTGTTGTGGAAATTTATGAAGGGCCCTCGAAATGGCCTACGACCTGACTCTCCCTGGAAAACCCCCTTTGCACCTTGGGGGAAAACTTGAAAAAGCATCAGACGAGGCCAGCAAAATGGCGGGCAATAAAAATAATTGCAAATTTCGAAATTTAAGTGTAGGCGTGAGTAACGTTTAAAGTGGCGCCTCAACTCCCTTAGCCACGCCCCCAAGCCCCCATTTGCCAAACAATGGGCAAAAACAAAAAATGCTCAGCGCAGTGTAAAATCTGCGAATCGCGGTTTTCTTTTTCCCTTTTCCCTCGGTCTGTGTGTTTTTGTGTTTTACAATCTGTTTCGCAACTCACGTAAAATATAAGGTAATTTGTGGAAATTTGATGTTTATCGTAAATTGTTTTTTATTTGCACAATGTCACCATTTTGCGGTTTGCCAGCAGCGCAAGCTCACACACACACACGCGCAGACTGACACGCCAACACACGCACACAGGACCGCGCTGCTGGTCAGAGTTGCCAGGCAGGCGAAAAAATAAAATTAAAAATAAATTTAAGCCAAATGGGTTCTTTAAAGGAGAAAATGCAATTTATTTAATAGAATTCTATGAAATTAAGAGGGGGACAGCTTCGAACATAAAATTTAAGATTTCATTCGGTTAATATTTGCTCTTGGAATGGGTTTCTATATAGCTGGTATGAAAAAAACTTAAATTTAAAAATTAAGTTCAAACAGGTTCACAGCACTTTTCTAGCATTATATTGCAGTGTATATTAATAATTTATAAAGCTAAAAAATGTTATATTTTCAAGTCTGTAGTAAGAGCATTCCCCTTTCGAGCAGATGTTTTCCCACCTTAATTGGGCAACCCCGAAAAAAAGGGCGAATGGTAAAAACAATTGCAAACATTTTTCAATTTACCTGCATGGCAGACACGCCTTCTCTCCTTCGGATGTTTACTCCCATTTTTATTTCGTTTTTCGTAGTCCCCGATATTTTGGACTCAAATGCAACACGAATGCCCCAGTGCAGTAGGGCTAATAACGCGATAGCCATGACCAGAAGAGCCATGAACTCCTCCAAGGTGCATCTGAACATTTTGACCAAAAAAAATTGTGACGAAAAACAAAACGAAAAAACACAAATTTTGACAGAATTTTGTATGCCTATCGCAAGTGACGTGTGTAGACTGGTTTGGTTTTCATTTTATTTATTTTATAATTATCGTATATTCTGTTTTACATTGTATAATATCGTATATCGTTACGGCTAGGTTTACAGTTAAAATTAGTTTAGGGTTTTGGTTTCGCAATAAAAATGTCAGTAAAATTTTACAAACGCCTGGCGTGAACATTTTCCTGCTGTATCAGTTTCTCTCCGCAGAACGCTTTTTAATAGTTTACATTTAGTTTGAGTGGAAACTATAAAACGGACATTGACAAAATGGACAGCTAAACATAGTTGCAGACTTAGACTTATGTTTATCGACTATTTTGATCTCATTTGGTTTTGGATTACAGATAGATTTTGCCTTAGTCTAGGGATTGGAGAGATGTGTGAGTGCTCTGAGTCAACTTGGGCATGAAATAAAGGTTATAAACTAGCTCTAGGGTTTGTTTGTATAATACATAGTTTAAGTCGAATTGAAAATGATATCTTAACATATTTCAAAGTAACAGTTCAATATATATATCTCACCCAGAGCCACACAAACACATTCAGATATCCAATTCTTATTTCTAGTTTCTCATATCATTGACAATATTTTAAACACATTTAATTTGGAATCGAGCTTATGCTTACATAGACTTTCTATACTCTTTGGTTTACTCTTTTTAAAGTATTTACAATGTCCTTAGAATCGAATTATCCATTTCAATGGTTGCTATTTCTAAGAGAGTTACGCGAGCGATTGCTTAACCAAATTTCCATGCATAATTTGTGGCGCAAACACTTCCCTTTTTCCGCAAACATTTTTGCGATTTTTGTTTGCTAAACACCAAAATAAATGCATCAAATATGTGGATTTATTACTTGATTATTCTATAATGGTTTTAATGCTGAACAAGTATTGGATTAAAGATATTTGCCGCATTCGTTTTTCTGTTGCCGTGCAATTAAATATTCTGTGTGGCTTCTTTTATTTTCTCTACCATATCACTGAGTGCTGGGGGGTGTTGGTTTTAAATTGAAAACAAGCGGGAAATCTGTACAACTAAATGCTTTTACAACCCATTTTGATGGCTACAAATGTATGCGCTTTTATGTACTGTCAGATTGAAAAAGGAGAGTTCTGTGTTTATAAAATTTGTATTCCACCCTCAAGGCGGGGGAAAGTTATTGGAAAGTTGGGCTGATGATGTTTTGGTAATCACTTTTCACGAGTGATGGCGTAAAGTAAACAACAACCGAAAAGTAATGAACTTTCTCATCATTTTCAGTTGAAAAAAGCATTCTGGAACTCCCCGCAGCTTAACATTTAAATTGAATTCGATTTGATGTCTGTTGATTATTCTCTTTTCCGGCTATTATGGTTTTATTTCAAAGACTTGCTCTCTTTGCCCTAACGGATAGTTTTTCTATTTTAATTTCCATATTTTGCGGTTCTGTATGGCGCTGTTTAAATATTTTTTATAGCTTTATATGTAAATGCAACTCACTTGGACTGTTGACTGGCAGCGCTGAGCTTAAAAATTGCTTGCAGTGGCAGTTGCAGTTGCAATTTAATGACTCCATGTCCTGTCTACAATTTACAGATTGCTCAGTAAATAAACTGATATTGTGTGCTCTGATTTGGCAGAGCTGACTTGCACTGAGGGCTTTGTGCAATGGCAAATTAATTTGCAAATTTACACAATCTAATTTTAGGTCACCGAGGGACCCAGACGACCGACCAATTGTTAATTTGTAATTACAATTTTTGCATTATTATTGCTCGCCGACAATGCGAACAATTGAAATTAGCAGCGCAATTAGTCGAACCGAGCAAACAAATATTCGTTCCAATTTAATGCCCCAATAGAGACAAAAGCTAATGAGGAGTCGAAACTGTTGCCAACCTTTCCCCTTTTACCAATTTACCCTTTTAGCCTTTTTGCATTGTGTCGAAGTTTGATTTTTATTGGTCATGTTTATTTGGGCCCGGCTGGGTGGAAAAGCAATTAAATGAACATTTTGTCTGTTTTATTTGATTTAAACGAACACAATTTCCATATTCTAAAAAAGGCATAGAAACCTCAAAAGGTGGCTTTTGCGTTTGGCTCTCGGTTTAACAATGATTTGACCAGAATATTATGGCGCTCTTTTTCAGCTTGCAGTTTGTCGCCGTGACCTCAATAGTTTGGCCACATGTTAAAAAAAATATGAAATGCCCTATTGTTTAAACATAAATAATATATGCGGTGGGCAAATTAAAGTGGGGTTGCTTAGAAACTTTGTTCGGTTTGTCTATTTGCTGTTCTACTTTTGATTAGATTTTTGCAAGGAAACAAGTTTAGACTTGCCTATATTTGGATCATTAATACTGTTTATAATGAAGTTACCAAAAAATTAGAAATAATTGTAAATCAAAATCAACGCTTTACAGATAATATTTCAGAACGTAGAAGTTATCTTTGACTATCCTATGTTTTTCAACTCTTTTAAAAGGAATTACAGGTTAAAGACCTTTGGGACTTAACTACTTTTTCCATATCTTTGTGTATGTCTAAATATTCTTTTTGGTATTTCTGTAGTTTTTCACATTTACAGCATTTTTTCTGGTTTTGGTCGAAATAGGCAAGTTTCCTCTTAATTTGGTTTTATGTTTGCTTTGCTAGCAATTTTCACGCCACTTAAACAGCTAAAAATTTAAATTTTTTACGCATGGTTTTTTGCTATTTACTTACTTAAATGCTTATGTCAAAATGTATTTGGTTGCCGTTTTTGTTGCGGGCTGTTGTCTCTTAACTGGCAATTAGTTTAATTTGCCAAATCCTGTATTATATCCGCTGCAACGAGAGAGGAAAATCGATTTGCGTTTAGTGCGATTTAAGCTCATTAATAAATAATGGTGAAATATGCAATTTAAATTAATTAATGCGCGTGTGGGCCGGGGGATGTTCCACTAAGCTATTAATTTGTGCAAAAAATGAGAGATGCTTTATTTCATTCGGATTTTCAGATTGGGGTCGGGCAAATGTATTATATTATATTTTATATTTATAGAAACTCGCTCCAAATACATTTGCATTCAATCAGCATAATGCGATGCTGAATGGACGGTATTCGTATTTATTTTATTTCTATGTACCCTCAACCATATTTCTGCCGCACTTTATTCTATGCATTTATATTCTATATCCATCGATATTATTTGTGACTTGGAGCGTGTCGAGCGTTGCCGCGCGAAAACCCGGTTCAAATGCCAAAACACTTCACACACGACGAGGTGCGAGACTTTTCGCAACATTTTCCCCCTTTTCGCTGATTTCAGGCGACACTTTATGCACTTTGACTTGCCTCTGACAATTGCGACTTTTGCATAAATACATTTTCTGCATTTTCCGAGTCAAGTGGTTGTGGAAATCCTCCTCCCTCTCAATCTCGCTTGTCTGCCACAATAAAATACTTTCCAATGCGTTTCTGATGCATTCTGAATGCGTGGCGTGGCGTGGCGTGGCAAAAATGTATCTCCTCGAAAAGCCGCAATGCATTTTCCGCACAGCTTTCCCGGCTTTCAGCTCTTCTCTGGTCCCACGAAACTCAATTAACGCTTTTCGGTTTCCTTTCGCAAAATGTGACACGGTCGTTTGGGCTTTATGTTTGACCGCTTGTTGTTATGTTTGATTGCCTAATAAACATTTTATGAGCCGGGCCAGTTGGCCACGCAGAAAGACAGACGGCGGGCCAAATTGGTAAATTGTTTGAAAAGATGCATTACACGGTCTGAGTCCCGCCCACTTTCCCTTTTCAGCCAGCTTTTCCTCTCAAATGTTTCGCCCACTTTTTACCATTTTCCCCGCCATTCAGCCAACCATTTTGGCCAGGCCGTAATTAACAAGCTGCAAAACGGCTCCAATGGGCTGGCAATGAGTTTACCGACTTTACTTTATATTCCTCGGTTTTGTCGAGGGTAAGGGTGAAATCATAAAAGTTATTATCAGAGGAGAAAGTGTGGATTATAATAATAAATTTATCAAGTTAGCATAGGAATAGAATTAAAATGAAAGTATTTACAAGGTTTATTTATTTTGATAAAAAATATGATGTAAGTCGGTGAGGAACCTCACTACAAAATGTATCTCTTTTTAGTGCCATAATTATTATTTATTATTCATTATTATTTATTAAAAGATTTAGACTTAGACCTTCTAGAGTATGCTGAGATCGTTGTGATTCAATTACGAGTCCACCCACTATAGTTAGTTAATGTTGACCCCTTGGCAACCTGTTTTCCTGGTTTTCCCTCCTTTCCCCTCCTGAAAAACCAACGCGATGATAGTCCGATGGCTTTTGTTGGCCATAAAACATGTTTCCCGGCAATAAGATGCGTTTCGCTGGCAGGATGCTGCCCTTAGTGCTACCTGAACTTTCTCCGCCCACCCCGTTTTCCCGCCGCTGTATCTGGCCTGCTCTTGTATTTATGCCTATGAATATTTCATTTAATTGAAGCGCATTCATTACCAACCACACACAGCAAACAGCAACCGCCCCCTTTTGCCGGGCGCCACACTTTTGGCGTTGTAATTAAAATAAATTTATTACGTAAAATGTTTTGCCAAAAAATTTGTCGAAAGTTGTGGCTTTGGCCCCATGGCGCAATAAATAATGTGGAAGGTGTGTGCGCGGGTATGTGGGTATCTGTGTGAGTGTGTGCGGAGTATGTGTGTGAATGTATGTTTAATGATCTGTGTACTCTTTGTTTTTGGCCCGAGCTGGTGGTGCGCGGAAATTGATGCGGTTAATATGCTTCCAATTGTTAATTTCTGCATTTCGTTTTGTTTTTGCCGAAGCCACAAAATCACACAAACCAAAGAACGACAAAATAACAACAAAAAAATATAACTGGGAAAGCAAATAGAAATGGAAACCGAAAACAAAAAGCCAAATCTAATCAACAGGAATAACAAACCAACCGAGCGAGTGGCCAACAAATTTAATGGATAACCCAAAATTTATGATTACGCCTCTGATTTGGCTAACCGAGTTTTTCAATACTTCTGTAATTATTTGCTGGATAAAAACAAACTTGCATGGAATTGATTTTTGAAAGCGAAAATAGTTCTAATTGGGTTTTAATATGATAGGATTTCGATTTGAAATGGTTCTGTGGACAGTAGAAGTGTGTTCCTAAGTTGCAGATACTAAAGCTATCATCTAATTTGTGCCAGTGCTTTTGATGCTAAATACACTTCAGTTCCCTTTCAGAACCCAATCAAATCAACTTAGCTCCGTTGAAATTTAATCACTCAAACGCAGCCAACTGAAATTCCCAGAATTTTTCACCGGACATCAACACCCTAACTAAAAGAAAATGATATCGAGAACAGCACTAATTGAAATCCACGTTAAAAGCCAACACGAAACAACCTGAATTGAATCAAACGCAATGCGCTGCAATTCAATATGGCGAATGGAGTGAAGCACTTGGAATAAAAATGTTTGGCATTGCGTAACGCACTGCGTGATTTGTATTGTTGGACGGGACTCTTTCGGTTTTTTGCCACTTAGCTACACAGAAAGAAAAGCGATTTGATGAAACATTTAAATTTCGAACTAAAAAATGTAAAAATCATTATCATAATGCTAATACAATCAAAATCCGAATCAATTTCTATATTACTTTTTCTATCTGTGTAGAAGGCACTAGTAGATCCCGCAAATCGCCAATCGGATTGCGAAAATCGAGAAAACTTGCCAGCTCGAAAGCATTGCATACTTTGCAGCGCAATTTCGGGCACTGAAACAACAGCGAAATACTTGGCTTTTTCGCTGTTTTGTTTGATTCTTTTGTTGTTTTCAGTTGCCTGGTCATCAAAGTCAAAAACGAGAAGGCAATATAGAGTGGTCGCTGTTGAGGGACGGCGAGCGGGTTAACAAGAGTCTGCAGGAGCCAAGAGCTTTTATTGCTTTAAACTGGCACTCGAGTTCCACTTGCAACTCAACTTGAGACCTGTGCAAAAAAAGAGGTGGTGGTACAAAAGAAAAGTAAGGCAACTGTCGGGATCCCTAGCTCGTCTTCATCTGAAATCCTCAGCTGACACTACGACAACCCTTTTACCCCAACTGCAATGATTTTGGTTGCGTTGAGGCTGCGCTTTACATTCGCTTTCACATTTTCCAGACTGAAAAAAGGGATTTCTCAAGTTTAAACAAAACTATACCTAATAGGTAAGCTTCTTCTTTACCTATTGACTTAAGTCTTTAAGTTTTACCTTATTTTATGGGAATTAATTGTAATTTTACTTGAGTTTTCTAAACATTTTTCCTTTTGTTTCCACAAAGAAGCTTATTTAATAGTCCTATTTATATTTATAACTAATAAAGTAATTAAAAAACTGAAAACCTGTTGAAAGCACAAGAAAATGAACAGAAAATTGTTCAGCCTTTGTGCACGCTGCCCACACAATATTCAACCAAAATCCTTTGACTATATTTCGCATGACTGCCATGAAAATAAAGGCTCAAAAGTTTCTTTATCAATGATCATTAAGGGTATTTGTGGCTTCGCCTGGACCGCAGCTGTTCATCCTTGCCACTTTTTCTTTTCGCCCATCTTGAGTTGGCATATTTTCGTTTTCGTTTTTTCGGCTTCGCTTTTGTTGCTTTGTGGCCAAAAATGCGGCAAAAAGATGGATGGGACAGGGAGTGGGGGCAGTCGAGTCTTTGGCCATGGCTTTTGTTTTAATTGAAATGTTTTTGCTCCTCCGCTGGCTGCTGCAGCAAACTGCAGCTGCTTCTCTCTTCTAAGCCGATTAGAAGCAGTTCATAATGTATACGGCTAAATATGAAAGCTGCCCCGGAAGTGTTCCCCTCACGTTTTTCCCCCTCTTGTAGGTCGGAAAACAATTGTTTTGGTCCACCATGTGGAGTGGACCGCAAACGCCGCAGTCTCTGCCTCTATCTGTATCTCCATCTGCCTTTGCCTGTCTGTCTAATTGAAGCAGCATTTAGCAGATACCACGGCGTATGCGGAATATGCGATGCCATAGCATACGGGGCGTATGCGCATAACAACACAAAAATCACGCATACGCCATGTGTATGTCTGTCCTAGTGAGTATGTGCGCTTGAGAGAGAGAGAAAGAGAGAGATAGTAAAAAACCACAGCCATTGCTGAAAGTAGATGCACAGAATATCCAAAGCACTCGCATACGCAAGCCCTTTTATGCATTCCATGTGGCATTGCGGCCGACAATGGAGAAAATCAATCAATTTCTGGTTCGTTGGGGTCTTGCGGTGATGTATTCTATTAGAGGTCGATGTAAAGATCAGGTTACTAACAAACGATGGGAGAGGAGTTCTTTTAACTTCCTATATTTCCTAAAAATCAAATTTTAAAAAACAATCTTGGTAGAGCTGTAATCGAACCTGAAAAGATTTCTGCCAATAAGAAAGAAAGATTATAAGAGTTTTGGAACTCAAATTGTTTTGATAGAATAAATTGATAGTTTGCAATCAAAACATTTCCCAGAAAATAGTTTTTTATTTTCTTCCTCTTTATCCTATTGTGTTTATCATTCAACCTTTTCTCTCTGTGTATGGGTGTTTGTGTTTTTATTTATTTCTGCAATGCATTTTCCTTCACCGATTCACTTCGCTTACAGCTGGCAGCGTTGTTTGATTTTGATTTTGTAAAATATTTTCTGCTTCAGCATTTTACATTTTTAATAGCGCCCTCTCTTTCTCCCTGGTGTATCCTTCTCTTTCAGTCTCATCGTAGTTTATTTTGGTATTTTCCAGTATTTCTACTCCCTATATTTTCTCCTTTTTGAAGAAGCAGCGTTAGTTGTCGCTGCTAGCGATTTGTTCTTTTTGATAGAGGGTGGAGCACTGTTTTTAGGGGGTTACCGCCAGGGGGAGATCGACTGTTTTATGTATGTGAATTTATCTGTGTGTGTTGCAGCATCCTGCTACTGTTGCTGATGCTGCTGCTGCATAAAGGGATACAGAGATGCAAATTCTATACGGAATCTAGATGGGGATTCGGTGAAAGGATGGAGCAGTGTGTGCCAGGAGGGGTAAATGGGGTAGGGTTGTCCTTGCCTTCCATTGTGGAAACTCTATTTTATTCATCCGAACAGCTTCAGCTCGGAGCATCAGCAAAACTCTTGGCCAAACATTTCCCAACACTTAAGTGCATAATCAATCAAACTGATTTCTTAGTCGCCTCAACCGATTTCGAATTTTCGGGCTATGGATTTGTGTTCGGATTGGATTTGTGCATGGATTATTTTCCCAATACGATTTTCTTGTTGCAAGTCGAACAGTTTATGCTGTGATAATCACATTTTTGGTAAATTGTGCGAGATGTGAGGAGGCATTCAAAGATGGGTTTGATATGATCAACCCTTACTTTTAATTGCCTTGAAATGAGTTTGGCTTTTAATTCTGGGCTATTTGTCGGTCGAAATAACTTAGAAAAACCGGTTTTGTTTGTATAAAAAGATAGAAGATTATTAACCTAAAACTCACCCATTTGCTGTTGTGGCTTCGCCTGCTGTTGCAGATCCTTTCGCTGCGGTGGAAGAGGCGGCTGTTTTCCGGATTTCCTTAAAGTTCCATACCGCTGGGCAGCCTGCAGCATTTCGTGGGGCGCCAATTGTTGCGTGGGACTGAAACTCTGCTGACTGAGGGAGCTGGTGACCGTCGGGATGTGCGGCGAGTAACCACTGTAGTCGACCAGGCCACTAAACGCTGATGGTGGGCGCTCTACATAAATCTGCTGAGACTGGGCGGCGGCCATTTGGAGACGCCACAACGCCTCCTGCGACAGATCCCTGGCGTTACTGTAGTTATTCTCGTTTGAATTGTTGCTTGACCCTGCAAATTACGACATTTCGTAGGATTATTTTTAGGCCATGTCAGTGGGTTAGTGGCTAGTTTGTTAATAGAGTTGTGCAGATATGCGAGAGAAGGTGTCGAAAATTGGGTGCCAAGTGCTTCAGGTGCTTTGCAGTGAGTGGTAAAACTTGAGAGTCACAGTGGCTAATTGGAAAAACACGTACAAACATAAACACGAGTATGTATGTGGCAATAATGCCAGGTCATTCTCATCAGGCAGCTGTCCAAAAGATTATTACCAACCGGTTTGAATAGCAAAGTGTAAGGTTAACGACATGAGCTTCTTAAATTAGATTCAGCTCGGGCTAATCACATGTACTACTTCTTAATTCTAAACATTAAAGCTTTACAATTCCACTGAAAATGTGTTAGAATGCCATTCAACGTGCAAATAGTCTTCTAAATATCTGAAAGTGCGTCATTGCAAGGGAGAACCATTTTACATACGTCAAAATTCTATTTATAAAAAGAAACAAAGAAACGGAAACTTTCACGACGAAATTTAAGGTGAAAAAACGAGTTGGAAAATTCGCTAAGCTGATATTTTCATTGCCAGGGGTTCGAAGACTTCATTTTCCTGAGACACGATATGGTGGCGGCAACCAATTGCCGGGAGCCAGTGACCAGGACATCCAGTTCGTTCTTCATTCCGTACTTTTGTTTCCCGTATTTGTTGGTCAGGTACTCGAAGAAGGCGTTGATGGATATGGAGAGCTGCGAGTTGTCCCTTTTGCCATTCTCCTCGCAGAGGGCCCTCCAGTTTCCGGCATTCCTTTTGGCCCTTTGCAGCTCCTCCATGCCGTGCCACACCATCGCCTTTCCATCGTCCTCGGCCAGGATCTCGCCCTCGAAATAGTTGGGATTGGGGACAAAGCAAGCCTCTTCGAAGCGCAGATTGCTGCGAATGATGGTCAGCAGATCCTTGGCGTTGAACTCGTTGACTTTGTTGAAGAGCAGGATCTTTGGCTGGCGATTCGAGCGGGTCTTGGTGTAGAACCAGTCCCGACAGGCCATCATCGACTCGAAAGTATCGGCACTATCCAGGTAGACATTGAACATATCGTGTCGGATAAAGTCAAATTGCCCCGCCTGTTCGAAGGTCTCAATTCCACGAGTTGCCCCCGGGGTCAACAAAGTGGAATTTTCCTCCACGCCCACCACATACTCGGGCCTGTGGCGCCTCAGGAAATCGTAGGCCAGCTGTATGCCCAGAGAGCCGTTCAGTCGCATAGTGTAGTTGGCCTTGTTCATTAGCAGCTTGTTGTTCATATTACCCTCTATGTAGTCGTTGAAGGTGGGCACTCGACGCAGTTGCACACCAATTTGTTTGGCCTTTTGGGCCAGAACCTCGCAGCATTCCGTTTGGGTGACATTCGTATAGATATTGGCCTCGGGCTTCATGATGGCCGCCTTGGCCCAGGCAATATCTCTCAGCGAATTACCCAAATTCGAACTCTGCTCCCATCCCAAGGTTGTAATCCCAATTGTCTGGGCATGCGAGGCTATATTGGTGGAGTCACTGGCACCTCCATTACCCACCTCCAAAATCGCCACCTCCACACCCGCTTGATGGAAGGCATGAAAGGCCATTACGGTCATCAGTTTGTTATAGGATGGCGGGGGCTTCATTTTGGTCAACTCGGTGTTAATTTTCCAAAAGAGTTCCGTGAACTGAACATCGTCCAGTGGTTCGCCATCTATCCGTATCCTCTCACTGGTCAAGAACAGGTGCGGTGAGCAGAGAGTCCCGGTCTTCACCCCATGACACCGTAGAATATTCTCCACAATGGCACAGGTTGAACCCCGTCCCTTGGACCCAGCCACCTGTATCACGGGTATGGCTTCCAGTTGAGTTTTTGTGAAACCCGTCTTTTCCAGGCACTTCATGGTTTGTTCTATTACCGGATCCGGCGTGTCCCGACTGCTCTTCGTGGTGGCTCTTCCCGACGTGGGTTCCAGAACCTGATAGCTATTCAGCTGCTTAATGGCATCTAAGTAAGCCAGTCTTTCGGGACTTTTTTCTTCCGGTATCTCGGGTGCTGCTGGAGTTGGTTGAGCCGCTTCTTGGAGAGGCGTAGACGTAGCCGTGGCTTTTGGTATACCCATTTTCTGAATTTTCTGAGCCTGCATATCCTTGCCCGCCTGCTGCTTGGCCTGCATCTCCTTGAGCCACTGGTTCTGTTTCTTCTGCTGCGATCCCTGCATGCGATTCATCCAGTTTTTTCGTTGCGACTCGGAGGAGGCGCCCTTGAAGGCTCCGGAATTTTGATCATCCTGTTTTTCAGGCTTTGGCTGCCAAGCCGGTTGAGTTCTGGGTGGGGCACCAAAATTCGGAGCAGGATTTTGACTGGCCATCCCGAAACTGGGATTATTTCCTTGAGTGAACTGGTTTTTAGGGGGACCGGAAGGCGGAGACCCTTTGCCCTCTGCCAGTTTGGCTTTCCTCTGCATTTCCGGTGATACCTTGGCCAACCACTTGGCACGCTGATCTGGGATATTTGGTTGAACTGTGGGCTTAGGTGTAACAATCTTGGATTGTCCAGAGTTTATAGTGTCCAGGCCCAGGGGATTGTTCTGGATTTTTCGATGGTTGAGTTGGTTGGGATTGCTGCGTTGCCGAAGACTGCGATTGCGAGGGTTGCGTTTGCGTTGGCGTTTGCTTCTTGGGTAGCTCCTTGATGGCGGAAACCTTGGAGGCCTTCATCGAGGGCGCCTTGAAGCTCATCTTGAAGAAGGTCTGACTCGAATGGATCGACCACTGAAGGGCCTTCAAGCGGGAACTCTGCCTCCGGTACAGCAATGGCAGTAGCGAATGCATTACAAAAGTCCGTTTTGAGATATTTTTGGGATTAAAGGTTTAAAAGTTCAATAAAATGCCAACGAAATGTATGAATTTGGATCATGGAAATTTGTCGAGGGAATTTTCTGTATCTGACGAGAGAAAATTTTTTTATTTGGCTTGGTGGTAAAATAGTATAGTGTCAGTCATTCGGACACATAAGGGAAAGGTAGGGAGCATATTGGAGACTTTGCTTAGTTAAAAAAGATATTGATGTGCTTTTAAGGTATTTCGTGACATTTTCCAATTCAAATAAAGCTTCTCCAATAGTTCAATTTCGCCACAAACTTCCACTTTCAAAATTCATGGAACACCCTAGGCAGTCATAGTAATACTTGTACACTGAGAGAAACTTCAAGGAGTGCAGACAACTTATGTGACGGTAAAGAATTTGTGAATTAAGTTCACCAGTGAGGTAGAAATAGTTCAACAGTATTCCCCCCATAAAGTTAAAGTGCAAAAACAATTAGTAAAGAAACATCAACAGTAAAATTGTGTGCGGTGCTCTTCTACATCGTTATTTTTTTGAGTGCATTTTGTGCAGACGGTGGTTAGTTTGTTTTTAATTTGCTCGTGTGGTGCGAAAGTTGCTCCTGTTAGTTTTTTTCATTTTCGTTTCAGTCGCTCGTAGCTGGAGTTACCTGTGATGGCTAGTGTGGTTGTTGTTGTAGCCGCCTTGGCATTACGAGAAGTTGTTGTTATGGTGGTTGCCAGAGCCGTTGTTGTTGCCGCTGTGGCTGCGGTTACCAAGGACCTTTCCCGTTCTCTATTTCCCAAGTGGCTGCGCTTCAGGGTGGTGCAGTTGCCGGCGTTGTTGGTGGTGCTGTTGTTCGAGTGGTTCTTGTTGTGGTTGTAGTTGTTGTTGGTGGTGTTGGCGATGGCGATGGTGGGTTGGTTCGTTAGATTGGCGCGTGCTGAATGTTGCTGTTGCATCGGGTTGATGTTGCTGCTGCTGCTGCCGCTGATGCTGCTGATGTTGCCTGGCGTCGCCTCAAGTGGTCCTGCTTCGGTTGCAACCGCACACCACGACGATGAGTGTGTGTAAGTGGGTGTGTGTGGGTGTATGCCAGGTTGCAAGTGTTCGAGGGGCAAAGAAATAGTAATTAAGTTGACGCTTGCCAAAAGGGGAACGCAAAGAAAGTGCAACAAAAGCCCGCGGAACCCACAATTAAAATGCATTCTTGGGGGCAACACTCAGGGAAACTGTTAGGTCTATATATACAGTTTAATATATATTAAATATATCTCCAATATATAACCAACTAACTGCAGTTCAAAATGTCGCGGATATTTAATTTCTTAAAAGAAATAATTTTGACATTAATTTCCTCAGTGCAGCCCTCCCCTTCGTTAAGTTTAAACTTGTAGCTTTCCATTTAGGTGTGAATAGAGTTTCTTTCTTTATTGTTCAACGCCCCTTTGCTGAAAAAGTCAGGTGGGCAGGAAGGTGAAAAGTAAGGTACAGAAATGCTCTCGGTTTGGGGTTAAGTTCTCCGGCCTAATCGGATTAAAGACTAAGTGGCGACCTCTTTAAGGGGATTATTTGAGAAGAGAAGTTGTACACTCAAGTTTTCTAATTACGTAAATTTGTTTATTAGATTTTTATAGTTGCAAAAGTCGATTTTGCTCCGACTTTATCTGCCCGTCTAAGCCATCTTTTCGCTTTCTGGCTGCTAATTGACTTTTGTCACCTGGTTTCCAGCCAGAAAAGGCCACTTAAAAAACGAAGTTGAGACTGTGGCTGGGGAGTATTTTTCATATTCCTTTATTATGATTTCATCAAAAACTTTTTCGAGGCCACTAAAAACTCTATAAAAGTGTGGAGTGTGTTCTCTGGGAGTATTTGAGTTAAGTGGTTCTGCGAAAAGTGCTTAGGATTATGTCTTTCCTTTTGTTTATCCATATGGCATTCAGAAAACTCTATTAAGAGTTATAGTTATTATTTCCGAGTTTTACTGTCGTTTCTAGCTTGTCAATTTATTCTTTTATTATCATAATTATAAATATATATCCATGAAGTTAAGCTAAAAGGAACTATAAGAACTCAAACCAACTAAGAGCGTAAAGAGTAATCTCAACCGATTCCTATTGGACTTCTAAAATCCCTTGAGCCGCCTTGTAACCAATTAAAAACGGGGCAATAATACAGAGCTCGACCTATACAGTGGAGATTGCATCGAGGGGACAATGGCAGCTGAAGGATAACGGTTTAATTCTCACTTAATTGGAATTACGACGGTTACTTTTCAGCCACTCCCGTTTCCGTTTCCGGTGGCGCTTTGCGTTCTCGATTGGTGTCATTTTGGTTGCCAAGGCGAGCTGCTTATGCCCGACACCAAACACCATGGAAAATCTGGTGGCTAGCTCGGGGGAAAAGCGTGGGAAAATCGTGGGAAAGGGCCAAAAGCGTGGCGCTGCATTTGCATGAGTAGCTCGGTAAGTGGAAGAGGAGCCGCTCTAGATTGACATGAAATGCAATTACGGCCAAAAACTCCGGCCTGGGGAACAGGGACACCCATCGAAATGGCCGCCATAAATCTGCGCCGAAAAATGTGTCGCTTAATCAAGACGCACACGCCCACACCGAATCCCCCTGAAACCCCACCGAACTCCCAAAACACAATCCGCATCCCACGTTTCTAGCCACAAAGCCACGTCTCTTCATAAGTTGCCTGGCTGAAGTGAAATTTGTCCAGGCTCACACTGAGCGGAAAAATTGGTAAATATTGTGGAAATTTTTGTATTGCAGAAATTCAAGTGGTTCTCCTTAAGGTTCTTGCTTGATTATTAAACTTTTTTATGAGGTATTTATGGTCTTAATTTCCACAAATATAACAGATTTAGCAGGTTTTGCCATAAGATGCTAGTTCCTGAGTAAGTTTTAATCAAAGCTACACAGTTTTCTCTGTCTGTACTCACACTCTCCGGCTCCTAGTCCGTGTCCATGTCCATTGCCATGTCCGTGGGATCCGGCTGCTGAGTTGGCAACGGAGGGCAGCACTTGATAGCTGTCGCCGTCCCCGCCGATGGCACTTGTCACATGATAGCCGTAGCCGTTCGAATGTGGATGCTGTCCGCCGGAACCGTTGCCCCCCGAACCACCTACTCCGCCGTAGATTCCCAGGATGGCTTTGGGCTGTTGGTACTGGCCGTGGTTATTGTGGTGCTGCTGCTGCTGCATATTCAACTGCTCGTCGGGATCGTGGAGGGCGGTGAGGGTGAGTTCCATCCCGCCATTTCCATTGCTAATGTCCTTGGAGTCCAGACTTCCGGTCGGGTAGTACGGTGGTGGTGGTGGTGGTTGCTGCTGCGATTGCTGTGGATCCTGACTCAGCGACGGTCTTCGACTGGCGTCCAGATCAAGGTCGTACTCCTTGGCTCCCGCAGATCCAGGATTTGTGGTGGTGTTGGCGGTGCCTCCTCCTCCTACCCCTCCCACAGACCCACTGTCCTTTTTGGAGGCGTGTCTCCTCCGGCAGCGACAAAAAGCGTAGACAAGAGCCAGAAAAACGAGGAATGAGAGGGAGGCGATGATGATGGCCACCAAAGCGGAGGTTGTCATGGAGGAGTTGTGCGGCATGTAGGACTTGCCAACTGAAAGAGGATTAAAGAGCTTCAATGTTTTGGGTTTTTAAGGTATACAGAAGTGGGAAAGATGCCTCTTTTCCAAAAATGGGAGCATATTGTCTCGTAGAATAAGAAGCCTTTTAGTAATAAGCAAATTATTGAAGAAATTTAAGAAGAATACTCACTTTCTGCATTGGCATAAGCTCCGCAGTGTTCATGGTTAGATCTCAGACAGAGTTTGACCCGCACCACTGGACCTGGACCCGCTGTCTCGGCCAAGGCCATTGTCCGATCCTCGCCCAGGTGAGAGCCACCACCAGCTCCCAGATTCCTGCCTGAAGTGGTGGCTGTGGTGTAGTGGGCAGGCCGCGACATGTGGTTGATGACGGCCTCCTTGAAGGTCGTTTCACTGCCCGAGGGAAGCAGAGTCAGGGTTTCCACAATCTCCCACATGGGTACTGTGGCATCCCTGGTAACGAGCGATTCCACTACCGCGATGAGGGACAAGCAGGTGGCTGCCACATTGATGCCCAAAACATGCGAATTGGGATCATAGCTTACATGCAGCGGCGGTGGGATCTTACTGACTTTGGTGGTGGCCAGTATGTCGTTGGAGTAACCCGAAGTTCCCTTGGAATTCAGAGCATAGACCTTGAACATGTAGCTCTGGTGCTGATCCAGGGGCGCCAGTTTGCAAGGATTCTCCTTAAAGCAATTGAACTCGATCCACTCGTGGTTGGAGTTGCTGGAAGAACTGCTTATCTGATAGCTGGGTATATACCCATGGCCCGAACAGTCGGATAGGGTTTGTTCCCTAGGCGTGGCCACTCTCCTGTAGCTCACCAGATATTTAGTGTTCATGAAGCCACCATTGAATCCCGGCGTCCAGTTCAAGACGGCATAGTTGTGACCCACTTCTAGTATTTTCAAGTTCGTAGGCTTCTCCGGTGCTCCTTTGGGCTGCAGTCTTATGGGAGCTCGTATGCTATCCAAGGGATTCACGGCTCTGCAGATATATTCGCCATAGTCCGAGTGCTGCAAGTGGGCTATCCTCAAAATGGAGGTGTAGACATCGTTGTTCTCCATCCTCGTGCTGATTTCATAGTGACCATCCGAAGACATGGTCAGCGGCGAAGGATTGTTTCCGTATTGCCATTGGAACTCGGGTTTCGGATAGGCCTGAACTCTGCACACAACCTCAGCGGACTCCCGGAGATCATAGGCCACCTTGTTGTATTGGTGGATGATGATTGGTTCATGTTCGATCCTCAGATGCATGGAGGAGTTGGCTGAATTCACATCGTTTTCGTACAGGCAAGTATACAATCCTCGATCGTTTGGCAGCAGCTGATTTCCATTAGGTCTGGCCTTGCCCCTGAATCTCAGGATACTCTGCACCGCCACCACTCCGCCTCCGGCGTCAGTGGGAGTGGTTCGTATGTCGAACATCTTCCGAGTAGGCAAGATCTCGGTTCCATCTTTGATCCATCGAATCTGTGGAGTGGGCTTGCCCTTGGCACTGCAAGTCACCGCGTAGTCCACATCGCCCACTCGTCGGGTCATATGCTGCTGCAGCTTGGCTAGAAACTGAGGTGGCTGGTGTACTTCCAGGATGATAGTGGCTATTTTTCCGATTCCCAACTCATTCACAGCATGACAGTGGTATTTACCCTCGCTGCCCAAGTGGGCTTTTGGAATGGAGTATTGGGGACCTTGGGCTAGGATCTTCTGGGTGTTTCCAATGTCGCCATCCATGTCGCGGAACCATCGATATTGGGGAACAGGCCATCCCGGTGGATTGGCCGAGCACGTTAGGGTCACTCCATTGCCCACATGAACGACGGGCTTATTCGGGGTTATATACGCCTGGCCTGGCCGATGTCGAACTAGCAGAGCCACCGTGGAGTTACCCACTCCCTCCACTCTCTTCGAACTGAACGGCTGCATTATGTTCACCGATCTGCATATATAGTTCCCAGCATGCTCAGCTCTCACCGAACCCAGGGTCAGAAGTTCCCCAGTGTATCGGAAATCGGGAGCTCCTTCCTTCAACCACTCAATGTTGATGGGCGAAGGGTTGGCGGTGACATTGCATCGAATCAAGACTGTTTCTCCCTCTTCCGCTTCATGGGTCTTCGACTCTATGACCACAATCGGGGGATATAGAACGTCGAGGACAATATCCTTTTCCCCGGTCTTGCCCAATCCATTATCCGCACTGCAGGTGTATTTTCCGGCATGATGACGGTTCACCCTATATATAGTGTGAACGGGCGTGGCACTCACATATTGGCCATTCCGAGACCAACGCACATTGCTGACCATCGGCTTGGCATCCACTCGACAGTCTAGCTTCGCCACGTGATCGCGTTCTACCCGCAGGGGGTTCTGGGGTCCCACCTCCACTCGGGGGTAGTCTGTAGGAAAAGACAGAAAGTAGTGTAATATGTTATCAATGTTTGGTTTAATCTAATCTTTACTATTATTTATGCAAAACAAGTTAGCAGCAAAACATCAATAAAAATGGCATATAACCGTAAAATCGTGGGCAGAATAGTTTATAATTTATTCACTGTTCGGCTGTGGTTATTTTTTCGGTTCATTTGGGTTAGCATACAAATAGGCAATTACAGTAGCTAGTTTAGATCCCCTCCTTAGTTGGCCGGCTGTTCGGGCCATTAACTTGTCAATAACCGTTTTCAATTACCCGAGGACGGCAACATTGTTGTAGGGGAAAAAAGTCCAGCTTATGCCACTGAAGGACGTTGACGAGTTCAGCGTGACCCATCGACATTTTTAAATAATGCCATTTTGTGGAGCAAAAAAGCGCTATATGTTTACTAGGATGTATATTGGGCAAATGGCCCTAGAAATTGCCGCAAGTATTTTTGTGGCCCAGGTACAGTGGTTAAGTTTGTTGGTATTTTGGTGAATTTTTATTCTCACACTTATTAAATCTAGTTTAAGGTAGTCGTTATAGTTTTTCCAACTAATTTATGATTGAGCTTCTGATTGCCATCATAAAGCATAAACGGTTAATTGGATTTCTCTCTTTCATTCATCAGAAGTGTCTCTCATATAATAGAGGTTTCAAACTGGTAATAAAAAACCTATCAACGAGCGATAAATTATTATGCCGAAGCAATAAAGAACTCATAATTGAAACGTCGGCGATAACGAATCCACTACACTTTATTCGATACCACTTTCTGTTGTCTTTATCTGTCATTTATCTGTCAACTTTTCCCATTTCCAAATGTCGAACTGGGAAAGCCTTCACCTTCCCCGAAACGCCTCGATGCCCGAACATTTCACTGACTTTTAGTCGTTTAACTCACCATTGTGCGCTTTGGTCATTTGGTTTAAGTGCCGTTAGTTTCATTCCGTATCGAATCGGTGGCATTACCCCCGTTTTTCCCATTTTCCCACTTCTCCACTTCTCGACCTCCCCACCCACTTGCCACCCAACCCGTGAAAAGCGCGTTTAGTCAAGCGTGAGGCATAATAGTGGCTAAGTATAATTGTTGCTGTTGTTGTTGTTGTTGTTGTTGCGCCAATTAACTTTCGAACACTTTAGTTTAATCACCGTCTGCCCAACCGAACGGAGTCTGACCTCCGCCCTCCAGGCCGCCGCCTCCTGTTCAACAATTTCCCTGCGATTATAGCTGATATAGCCCATTGTTATTGTCGGGCCAGCATTTTGGCCAATTGTTTTTGTTGGCTCTAACTCGTGAAGCGACGTAAATGTGCCTGCGTCATGGTCTAAGCTCCGAGGACTAACCAAATGGTCAGAGCAAAAATTCTAGAGGATTGTTTTTACAAGATTATAGACCAATGGGTACCCCATATATGATATGCAGCTTTTTCTTCTTCGTATTTTAATTTATTTTAAAAATATTTTAGTAAAGAGCTATCTATAAAGTTTGTTAGATTTAATCTATTAAATGATGTGAGATAGAATATAGTTTCTCTTTTTCTTTAAGCGGGAGGAAAACGAACTTTCCCCTTCAGAAATACCCTGGAAAAGTGGAGAAAAATGCTGCGTTATCCGGGACCCAATTACGCGTCGCCCGAAAACATTAAAGCCTAGCTCCTAAATGAGGGGCGCCGTGTGTGCTGGTGTGCGTATGGCGGTGGTTGTGTGTGTTTGCTGGTGTGTGTAATTATAAAATAAAATTTAATGAGCAGAGCTCCGACCAGAAAAACAGAAGCCACCGCGGAGGAGGAAGGAAAAATCAAGTTTGCATTTCAACACATGCTGTTGAATGCCACCACCCCCCAAAACCCCCACTTGCGGAGGAACAGCAACCCTCGGGGCATTTTCATGCCCAGCCATCCATGTAGTTTCACGCTGATGTCGGGGTGTTGCTGCCACGCCCACCGCTCCCCCTGCCGCCCCTCGAAGTGGTAGCCTAGTCCAGAACTCTCGCTGTCCTGACATTTGCCATGGTCTTTTTTCGCATAGTTTTATAACAGCAAAAATTGTAAGAAAGGGAGAAAAAATTAATTCAATTCCTTGTGCTGGTAATAATGATTTGGGCATGGTATTTGTTAAGCAACATCTGAAGATCCAAGAAATATTTGTGGTTCTTATAGAGGAAGGAATTCCAGGGAAGTTTAGTCAAATAAGCAAAAAATTGATGAGGATGAGATGTTTCCTTAATTAAAGAAACTCAACCAAGTTGAGTGTTGCTCTCAAAATGAAATTGAATTTACTATTACTAACATCTAGGTTTTCTCTCTGAAAAGGGTTTTAACATTTCTTTCATAAAGAAAGAGCATTTAAAGTTCATTGATTCTGAAATAAGCCCATAGCTTGTACAACATTTTTTTGCACAATTTTTTAAATGAGTTACCTGGGTTGGACCTTGTTCACATGTATGCTGGCACGCCTACTGCTACGCCTAGAATTCTTCCCCTTTCCATATTTCGCCACTCCTTCGCCTTGCACATTGTGATTTTATGACCGGCTACATTAGTGCCATGAAATATGCTCCTCCTTGCACCCGCAGCTCCACCTGAAACGCCAAACCGCCTGCACCACCTGAACCACCCACAAAATAACCCACCCACCGTAAGCCCAACCCAACGCAATCCCAGTCCACAACCAAAAACCAAGCCGAGTCGACGAGATCCTGGCTTCCGGCTAGGCAGCGTTAAATAAAAATGAAACGTTGCGCATACGCCGCGTTGGCCGTGGCGTAACTTATGCCCGCTGGCCATTTTTGCAGCGAAATTTAATTATTTAACCCGGAACTGGGCCGAACTCGGGTTTTTTTTGTTGCAGCTGGTAGCTGGTTTCTCGTTTGCTGTTTCAGGATGTATCACACACACCTGCTCGGAGTGATTTTAATGAGTCGAGTTTGCAGTTTGGCTTTAAGCTTTTCTCTGGTTATGACTCGCCCACATGGCACCGGGAAAAAATACCTCGAAAATTACACGAAAATCCTGATATTTGTACCCGTTAAGCTGTGACACGTTTTTTAATAATGAAATTGGTTTTACAAACTATTTAATGAAGAGATGAAAAAATGTTGACTGCTTAAAGCGCTATTTTGTTTTTCTTATTTTTGGGCAATCTCTTTGTCTCTTCCCAGAATTCTTAAGATTATTTAGAAATATAAGATTTTTTACAGTGCGGTTATGAATCCGCCTGCAGTTGCAGCCTTTGTTCAGCTGGCATTTTCCGCCCTCTGCTTTCCATCTTGTCCAAATTGAAAAGTTACTACCGACAAAGGCGGCAAACCGAAGGAGTTGTGTGGGGGATGCAGCTGCCGCCGATTCTTCTGCTCCTTCTTCCTTTGCCTGCTGTCGCGTACGTGTCACAGTGAACACATCACGTGACTTCCGGCGCGCGTGCTTTCAACACCTAACCACCACCCGCTGTCCCGCGCTCTTCCCCTCTTTCCCCAATTCTCCCCCGTTTTCCATACATTTCTCTGGCCTTTCAGGGGCCAAAAAATAAATATCGAAATGCCTGGGGAAAACGCGTTCAAATTAAGAAACCGAACGGAGGTAGAGATTTTTTCATGGTAAAGTCAATAACTAAGAATATACGAAACTTAAAGCTGGATATCAAATCAATAGTAAAAATTTATAAAGAACTTTGGTTAGTTAATTAAAACAGATGTGTTCCATGTAAAGATATATTCAGCTCATATATATAAATAGAAAAATAGAATGAATGAATGGGGAGTAGTTATTCCTCTACATTTTGCTAGCTTTGATAGAACAAAATGAATTCAAGTTTTACGAAATGGCTGGCTCTCGTTTCCTATTCAACAAATGGCCACCGAAAAACCTCATCGTCGAAATGATCAATATATACAAACGGATTTAAAATAAATCAAGCGATGCCCGCACGAGAGTGTAATCATTATGCCGCGATGCCGCGAATATTTCGCAGCCACCACACTTTTGGCCCACTTTTGTGGCCCCACAATCGATGGCTTATAAAAACTATAGCATACTTTTTTGGGGTGCGAGAAAGGGTGTCACTGCAGTGGCAGGGGCTGTGGGAAAGGGGCGGTCACTTCATTGTGCACTTGATTGCGCTTTGTGCACTGGTCCATAGGTGTCATATGGCTGGTGGAAATTAATTGAATTGGCTTTGGCCGGTGTAGCGGGTACAGTGAGTACTGCGAAAACAAAAACAAGTGGCCAAGTCCTTTGGAGCACTTGCGGTCGAGTCGATGATGAAGTTGCCGTGTTGGGCGAGCCAAAAAGTGTAGTGCAGTTAATTGAAATTGGGCAAAGCAATTAATTTGCTTTTGTCACAAAAGCTGTTAAGCTGAAGCACAGGACACCCGAAAAACACTCGACCAGAAGAATCCTTTGACGCAACATTTGTTTCTATAATATGCGCTTAAAGCGGCTTAAAGTTTTTTTTGCCCAGTTACCTTTGCCGGGGCCTCTCGAAAAGTCTCAAGTTGAGAGTTCTTCCGCTGGAGTGGAGCACTCGAAAGTCCAAAGTCTAGCTGGGTCCACTACAACAATGCTGCATTCATTAAAATGCTGTTAAAAGCCAGAAATTTTAAACTTGCCCGAAAGAAGTCGGAAAAACTTGAAATCAGCTTAGGAAAAGTCAGGAAGAGTCCAAGAAATCGCCAACAGAAGAAAGTCTTGAGGCGTACACCGGAAAAAATAGCTCACAGTTTCATGTAAACTTAAATATGTTTTTCAAATTAAGGAAGAGATTAAATATAATTTCGAAGGCCTAAAACCAACTTTTCTTGAGTGTAACAAGAATTACTGGTCACAAATTTCGGTTTGTCTTCATCGCCTTTTGTGGTTATGCAAATGGCCAAGGAGCAGGCCAATAACCGAAGCCCAGACCGAAAACAGTCGGCTGACATTGCCCGGCACTGACACTAATTGCAATTGTGTGCAGCATTAGCCCGACTTTCTGCTCCTGTCCTGGTGTAAAAAGGTTTTCATGTAGCCAAGTCAGCAGACGTCGCTTACTTGATTTTTCTAGCCCCCTCCCCTCGGGTTTTTCCTATCTTTTCTTACTTTTTTTTTGGTGTTTTTGTGGCCCGGCAGTGGCATAATCAAAAAGGACAAGCCACGAGTCTCCTGCTATTCCAACGATATTGGCAAGACTCGAATCTCGAGACGTGCTGACTTTACTGAGATGTGATTGTGATTGGGATTTGGGATTCGGATGGTCCCGTGGTTCGTTTCCAGGGAATGTTTGGCTGTCGTGTCAAGGTGTCGATGTGGCTTGCTGCGAGTGCACCGTAATCACCGGTGGATGTGATGACTGGGTGTTCAGGAAAGACACTAATGGTCTTAAAAACTATTCGGCAAAGTTAAGAAATCAATTTAATCTGCTTGCAGTTAAGGGAGCCAAAACTGAAATATAAATAAATATTAGAATATGGTCTTACTTTGGATTGCTTAAAATTTAAATTTTTATTGAGTTTCCAACTTTATTTCCGTTACTTGTTGCAAGGCTTGTGAAAACTAGAAGGTTATCGTCAAATATTTGGCCATAAAGAAGCAATTTGCAGGCGTTTCCAACTGCCATTTCCGGTTCTGTTTGCTCGGGCAATCTTCTGGCTAATGCGCATTATTGTCATTCGGAATTTGCATGCCGCACACCTGGGTACTGGTGCGCCACCCTGCACCCCCGTGCACCACTCACACACATGCGGAAAGCATCTTTTTATTCAAATTGAAATGTCTTTTCAACGGGTTTGCTTTCCACTTCAGCGGCCCGCGACACATGAGTGCTGTTTGTCTTCGTCGCCGGCGACTTTTTGGCCAAGGACTCCGCAAAAAAGGAAGATTGAAAAAGGAAGATACAGACAAAAGGAATGGAAGGTCGAAAGGATTTATGTAAACTATCCGTTACTCTTTTCATCACTAACTTAAACTTAATATATTAATCCAGAATTTCAACTCAAAATTGGAAGGGATGACTACACTAAAATCCCTATGGGTTCTATTAACCATATCCACAATATTCATCGTAGTATACCAAAAACTAATAGCTCTAATGTTTTTTAGGTTTCAGAAACTCTTCGACTCTTATTTCTCCCGACATTCCGCGTATGAAAAGTGTGGGGATTTATTTGGGTGGCAGAGGCATGGCAAAGGTTTATTACGTGCGGCGCATGCAACTGAGCAAAAGTCACGTGCAGGACGACACACCTGAGTGTTGGAGCGGGGGTTTTCGGGTTTTCAGGTTTTCAGTTGGGAGATTGCATTTGCTGAAGCCCAGTGCTCACACCTCCCCTCGAGTGTGGATGAGGGGGCTACAAGATGGAACGTGCCTCTCACGTGTGCAGCAAACTGTGCCAAGTCGACAAGGCGATGGTGGCGCCCTCGTGTTTTGTCTATGCGTGGCCACGTTGCGTATGCGCAATTTGATGGCCTTGCCGCCCACTCGAGAGGCAACTAGCACCACCCACTCTGGCGCACACTTTGAAGTCATATTTCTGAATCCCATCTAGGAAAAACACAAAAAGCGCGGGCCAGAGACATTTTCAATAATTTCATTTGGGGGTTTTCGCACGTTATAAAACACTCAACGGTCGACGAGAAGTCGTCGCCTCGCTGACAACATGACGCATTGGGAGTTTATTTTTCCAAAAAAAATATATACATATTTTTTAACCCAATTTTTCTCTCTCAATTTTTTTCATGTCTTTCGGTTATTTTTGGAATTTTTATTTTTTGGTAGCTTCTGGCATAAATCAATCAAATGCAGGCACAACACGCAATGCACACACACACAAACAGCGAGGAGAGTGGAATAAACGAAGCGAGACGGCGGACTGAGATATATGTTGTTATATATACAGTTGCCATCAAAATAATAGCACTTCTTAATTGCTTAAAATCGAATCATTTATTGGGAAGCTTTATTTACCGAAGACCATCCCATACCTTATTATTTTGCTAAGAAAACATATTCAAATTACATCCCCTACACTTCTAGATCTAATATTTTGTTAACAACTGTTTATCCAGAGGAAACAGAGAAAAAAGATGGCATACCGACATACATGAATCCAGTGACATTGGCACCGCTCTCAAGAATCCATGCAAACATTTTCAATTAAAAAACTGCCCTGCCATTTGTCAGCTGCTGCTTTCCCTGTTTCGCATTCTCATCTCTATTTTCCATTTTCTACTCTCTGCATGTATTTTTTCCTTCTGGTGCTATCAATTGCTTATCAATCACAATCACAATCATGAGACAACGTCGTCTTTGGCTCGCTTTCATATTTGTCTCAATGCAGCTGTCGTCCAGTGATTGTCAAACTGGTTTTTTTTTCGAGCCAAGAAAAATGAGGGGAATTAGAACGTGATGTCGGAGTTTCCTCTGTCACGATGGAAAAGAGCGATGGGAAGAGGAAAATTAGGATGATTGAATATGCTCTGTTGGAACATGAAGGCTAATTTGGGAGTTTTGCTGTGGCAAATTATCCGATAAATAACACTCCTAGGGCCTTACCAACCAGTTAAATTTCCCTCAGCCCATCCATATTTATGGAACTTACCCCTGCCAAGGAGATCTTTAATAACTACGAAATTAGCCAGCTAATGCAGGACTCACAATCAGAGGACTGAAATTGCCGTTCGTCCGCAGGCACTCCATCGACAATGATTGTCAAACTGTATTCGATTGGCTGTCTGCCATGTATTTCGGATTTTGGCCTTTACGGATCGCCTGCAGGCGTTTTGGAAGCCATTGAAAAGCCGAAACGCCGCTGCAAATTCAATTGTTCTTGTCGAACGTCTCGCAAATCGCTGGCCAAAGTTTGCTGATGTGGCTGCTGCTGTTGAAACTTGCACAGCCCTCAGGCCCCATACACATAAATGCACCTCAGAGGCCCACTTTTGTCCCGGGACACAGGTCCCCGGGGCTCCGAATGTTGGGCCAACATTCAAGGGGGCTGACTTGCTGCTAATGGATTTTAAATGAGCCCCATAAATAGCAGCAAGTCGTCCTGGCACACGCCGAAAAATTGCATTTGCCACGCCTGCCGCAACCATAAAAGGAGTTCTACTTCTGGGATTCCCCGTTTTCCCAGTTTTTTCTTAACCACTTTGTTGGTGTCATTTATTCTGCTTCTATTTGGTGTCTGTTTTAGCCGGTTCGTGTTTGCTTAGATTGTTTTCTTTGGCTAGTTAGTACCCTGTTTTTGCAGGGGTTTTAATGGGTATAGAAACTAATGGTAAGGGAACTAATACCCTTGTTTTATAAATTTTTTAATGAGTTACCTAATTTTCCCTTTGCTTTAAGGTAATGCTTAACAGATAATTATATTATTTTTCTTCCCAACCTATATAAAGAGTAACTATAGGTCCGTTCCTTCCTTCTGACTTTCCGTTCCTTCAACTGACTTTCTCTTCTTTATTTTGCCAAACAGAAAAGACTATAAATATTTGTTACGCTGACGACGCTGGGGGAGAGTCACACACACCGACCACATATTTACAGGAGACATTTATATATATAAACATATATGAGTTGTTCTTGTTGTCTGCTTTTGCGGCAACAAATCCGGCGTGTATAAAAATGACTGCAATTTATGTTTTCCTATGAATATATTTGTGGCAAGCTCGGCTCTACTCCACTCCACTCCTCCTCCGGCCGACCCACTGAATATATTTTTTCTCTGCCTTTTATTGCTAGTTTGTTACTTTATTTGATTGCATAAATTTTATGCAGATTCCGTAACATGTCATTGCAAGTGATTTTTATTAAATGCAGCGCGCGGTGACAAGTAGATTGCGCATACGCCGCGTTGTCCCCAAAATTTAATATCCGCCTCAAATGTGTTATGATGTTTTGGGGCCAAGAGGAAGCTAAACTTGCCAACTAATATGACAAGTTGATGCTCCGGTCATCCTGCAGCAGATTCCTGTTGCTGTGGTCCAATAACTAACAATCAAGTGGCCGTGCGGCATGCTGGGGGAGTATTTTTGGGTGGCAGACACTTTATGTGTCTCGTGTCATCTGCTTGGCTTCTCGGTCACGTTGATCATGCGACAACAACATGTGTTCCCATAACGCAGTTGCCAAACTTTAATTACAAAAGAAATGGCCAAAACGAAGAGTGGGAATTGGAAAACAAGTTGGTCCGGTTTTCCTTTCAAAATAGTCGGTTTACCTAAGACCAAGTTTCTGAGGTAGAGAGATTTATCTGCTTTGAATGAAGTGCACGATAATTAACTTTACCATCTATTTCTAATTAAGAAAGGGTTTCTTCTTGAATTGGTTTTTACTTTTATTTCTATATAAAATACCGAAGTTCTGTTCAAAACATAAATTTATGGCTTTGATTCAGCGACTCATATTATCAAAACATATCTTAAATTTCAGCTTGATTGCAAGTTTCAGATAAGATAAGCTTGGAAACTTCTTCTTTTATCTGGTATTAATAAATATTCCGCAGGCTTAAACCGTAAATTGTATTTTTGCCGCTGTGACCCAGACTGACCTAACAATTTAACTTCATCAGGGCAACCACACAGCCCCAAAACTACACTGAGATAAAAACTGAAAACATTTAAGGAAAGTACACTTATGGAAACTATTTGATACTATTTGTTTTGGGAGTACACATTTTCTTACACTTAAAAACTAACATACAAATATTGGTATATTGTCCTAACCTATATCCTTAACCTTTTTATAAGAGTGCAGTCCCAAAACCCAACTACTCACAGTTGACATTCAACGAGACGCTGGTCTCCAGCATATGACCCTCGGGCATGGCACGATTCCAGACGACGCATTTGTACTTGGCGCCATCGTCGGCCCGTCGGGGAACAATCTGCAGGGTGGCGTTGGTATAGTGGTTCTTCGACCCGCCCTTCAGCGCATACGACTGCAGCGGTACGGTGCTGCCCTCGCGGTACCAGCTGCAAAAAATACACAAGTGATAGCCACGATTTAGTGCCAAAAAACTAGGAGGAGTGCAGGGGGATGGCAACCATGTGTCGGAGAAGGATTATTAATGAAGGCGACCGCCCGTTAAGTGATTTACTTTCCACAGAAAGGGAAATATGGAAGGGTGAATGCATAAGGCAAGTCAGAAAAAACTTAAGAGGAAGTCAGAATGTCTCATTATAGTTTGGAAAAATAAATGAATGAATGGAAAATCCGGTCTTCCAATAAGATAATCAAATTAAAATTAAATTTAATTAGATTTTTCCTTCCAAGAACTCAAACAGAGTCCCTATGATTTTAAATTCTCTTACGTTATCATTGGATCCGGGGAACCGCCAATACTGCTGCAGGTCAACTCCAGTGGCTTCTCCTCGGTGGCCACCGCCAAGTTTCCGGGAGTGACCATCGGCGGATGTGGAGCCGTCAGCACTGTCAGATTGTAGAACTCCTGATGGACATCCGCGCCCGTTCCCTTGGCCTTGATCCGGCACTCAAAGCGTCCATTATCCCGATTGTAAGACGTATTCTTGATTTGCAAATCGTAAATTCCGCGACTCGGTCGAAAGTCCAAGCTGAAAGCAAACAACAAAATCAAACAGAAAGTGAGCAGCGAGTTCTGAATAAACCTGGAAGCGATTTATTAAGTATGGGAACAGCGGGAGAAAACTTTTACTTTATGCAAATTAAGTGCTCGTATTTTTTGTTGACTTACACCAGCTGCACACACATTTTCATATATTTATTTATTTTTATTTATTTCTATATTTGTTTATCTTTTGTAACCTCGAATGGTATATATTTACGTATTATTGGGAAGTTAATGCTCTGCTGGTCAGGATAGGTGAAAGAAAATAAATTAAATGTTTATCGGATGTCTGGGCTTTAAGAATGGTAAGAACTTATTAGTTGAGAAAGGAAATGCAGTAGTAAGTAGCTAACTTCCTAAAAGAACATTTTCCCTATAAGATAGAGCATCCTGCAGTCCTTGCTCTCGAGAGTTTCTGGGAAATAAATTTCTCCTCACTTGTTTTCGTTAAGTAGCCGCCCCTTCCCCCAGCGTTTTCCACCACTCACTTCAGCTTGTTGTTCATTTTCATTTTCGTTCGCCTTCTGTTTTCCGTGTTTTCACTACTCAATGGGTGTGTGTGTGTTGCCGTTGGGTTTACCCTCGGCTTCCCCTCGATTTCATTTCGGTGGGGCTTAAAAGCCGTGTTCCGAGGCCGGCGAGGAATAAAATGAAAAATGCTCATGGCAAATTAAGCGTCGAACTCATTTTTGTAAATTTATTAGCCCAATTCCTGTGCCGGACTCTGGTGCCTGGGGTCTTGTCTTGGGCATTACATTTTTATTAATTTAACATGGCTGGCGTTACCTTGATGATGGGCAAGGAGGGGCATGGCGGATTGACTGACTAAACCCAAATGGAAAAACTCAATCAAGCGTAATAGCCGCCGAGCTGTTGAATATATCCGCGGCACATTTCATTTTGCAGGAGTATTTTGGTTTGACACTTCAAAAAATCTTAAGCAGTATTCTCCGAAATATTTGCCATTAAGAAAATTAGAAACTAAACTTTATGAAAACGAGAAATTTTACAAATATTTGAATTTGAAACTTGACTCTTGGAATTTTCCATCTATCGTAATCCTCTCTCCTACTCTGGCTTATAAATGCATGGAAAACCCCATCGCGGAAAACTGCTTCTCAGGAGCTGCCTGGCCTTGGCTTCTGTGTTTAAATTTTAATTTCTTATGATGAAATTTTCCGCCAACAGAAAGGGGCGTGAGCTGGAACGGAGGCGTGGCCGAAATCAAGCACTCGACATTATTAAAGTGGATCTTATAAACTTCTTCAGCGGCAGTGCAACGAAATGCAAATTTTCGTGCTCAAAAAAATAATAAAAAGAAAATGTTCAATTTTGATAACTCTCCATGAGAAATGTGTGTACGTGTGTGTGTGGTGAAAAAATGGGAAAGTCGAGGAGAAATGGTTGCATTTTGTAGTTCAGGCTGAGATTTCGTTTCGGCTTTCCACTTCTTTTTTCCAGCAGCTTTTGCCATTGCATTTCCGGCAGCGACTTTTACGAGGCAGCAGGCTGTCTTGAAAGGATCCTTAAGAGCGGGTGGAAACTGCGAGGAAAATGGATGGAAAAGTGGGTGTGGAGCTGGGAAAGGAGTCGTCGTGCATGTGAAGCACATAATTGCCTCTGCCAGGAGGCCTCTGGTGTCCTTGCAGCCTCGAAAAGAAGGAATTTCTAATGTGTACGTAAGTGCTGTACTTCTGCCTTCTCCAGCATCCCCCCAGCCCTGTCCTCCTGCCTTCGGTTATTATGTTGCATCGTCGCAGGACTTATGCAAAACAGTCGCTGAATTGTTATGCAAATTGTTGCCAATTACATGGCAATGCCTCCTCTTGCCTCACTGAGCAGGGAGCCCCACCCACATGCACGTACCACTTCACGGAAAGTATTGAACAATTACACTGACCTACATGTCTCTGGTAATTGGAAGGGAGCTGAAGTCGTTTTCTTGATATATTCTAAAGGCAAATAAGTATCTAAAGGCATGTGTTTTCAGCTTAATAATGATACTATTTAATATGTAGATCAAGAGGGAAAATTTAAACAAGGAAACAATTTCTGTTTGGGTATGAAGATTCAGTCACAGGAATATCTCCATTTTACAATTTCTACTATGAAGAAGTTGAATGAGATTCTATCAAATCTATAAATCTATATCAACAACGTCAGAAGTGAGTCATATATCGAACTCCGATTCAGCAGGAATTTTCCTTAAACCTGCTGAGTAGTGTGGCCCCTTTTGACAGGCACAAGACAACGGAAAACTCGACTGGCCAGCTCAACTCGCAAACTTTCCCCACTATCAATCGAGCGAAAGAGATGGAGTGTAGGAAGGAGATGGAGCGGAGGAAAGTGGGGAGAAAACCTGAGGCAAGCCACTTGGCTTGTTAACGGTAACTAAAGCTCACTTTATAGTTGGTCATGGGCGGTGGCAAATCGGGTAGACGGAGGCGTGGGCTGATTATGTTATTATCGGTTTAGTATCGAAGTCTTATGGCTCGTTTTCTTCGTTACCCATCTCATGTCTCGTGTAATTCAATTTGCCAGGACATCCTTCGCCGCCTCGGCTCCTCTTTTTTCCTCCGACAGTTTCGCATGCCAAGGAGTCGTCTTCAGAAAGTAATAAACTTTTTTTCCTGCTTTCTCTCAATGAGAAACTTTATCCACTTAGAAAAAAACTATCTCAATCTCTGATTTAATAAGAAGACTTACAAATTTTCAGGAAAATATCACTCCTTCTACACGCCTTAAACTCTCCAATATGGTTTTATTAAAGATTTAGGATCAGATTTTTCCTTAGAGTGTAAAGCGAAAAGGAAGCTGATGGGGAGCCGATGAGGGCAAAAAATGTAAACGCGCCAAATTTGACGCGTGGCAAGGACGATGGGCTGCCACACCCCTCGATCGCCCTTTTACGCCCCTCAACGATGTGCGTTATGTGCGGATAATTGACTTTTAAAATGTGTGTGCGATATCCCAACAACAGCAACAAAAACAGAGATGGGGACAAGGGAGAAGGGTCGTGACGTATAATTAAACGGCATATTGTCACGCATCCCTGAAACTGGGAAGTGGGAGAAAGTTAAGGAGAAAGTGATAGGCGTCCAAGTAAAAGAGGCAGTGAGTGGGGGAGAAGGGGAAGGACAAAGGACGTTTCTCTCCTGTTGTTTGTTTTTGTTTGGACTTAAACTTTCCTCTTACCCCCCCGGAAAATGAATAAGAAGTGTATCTGTATTTGTAGTCACAAGATGTACGTTTTAATCTGGAATTACAAGGACATAAGACTGCAGAATATAATCCTAAGTCCTTTCTAAGCTAAAGCACAAAGGCAAATCGTGACAATTAAAAGGCATATGTCCCTCAAATATTGTTAAAGTTTAATTTAACTTTAAAAATATCTCATTCCAAATTTATTATTGTTTGTGGTTTGACACCCCCTTTTGCTGGACCACTTCAATAATGTTTTAATCCCTTAAGAGCACTATAACTCCCGAAATTTGTCAACTTTTTAACAAGTCCTAACAAAAAAAGAGGATAAATAAATGCAAACAGCCCAACAAATCAACGGACAACCGAACTCTTCCGTCACTCCTCCGGCGAAGCGTTCATCAAGTTATTCACACAATCTCCGTCAACTGACGTACTTTATCCCCCCTGAAACCTCAGAACAAGCCCCCCTTTACCGAACTTTACCACCCCTTTGTCACCCCGTCCATCCAAAACTGGTCCCAACTGGCAGTGCCAGTGACTTATTTATGCAAATGGCCATAACAAATGAGGCGCATACACTCGACGCTCTGTGGAGGTGCAGAGGGGGCGTGGAGGGCTGCTTTTCGGGGGGTTGTTTTGGGGACAATGGGTGAGGCGACATTCTAACCTCACAGTGGAAACGATTAATTTGGTGCCCGGTTCGGCTCCGAAACTCGAACGCTGTCCAAGCATTCCAAAATGGAAGGCCCGAGGCTTGACATGGGCGGGGGTGTGGTGAAAGGGGGATCGGGTGGCTCTCCTGGGGTGCAATGCATGTCTCAATCGTGCAACATGGCAGCTCATCAGTGGCTGCCAGAGGGGGATTACTGTACAGTGGGGCGGCCTCATTATTGAAACATGTTGCTAACATTTGTTATGCAAAGGCGACATTCATGCTAAATGCGACTGTGTGGGTGGTAAGAGTGGGATGGCACACATATCTGCATGCATCATGCTTATTGGGCCCCTATCCCTCTGTACATAGCAAGAATTAGTCGAGGATCTCAACCACTATTTGGTAATCAAGCTAATAAAGGCTTCGAGTTAGTTTTAATATTTGAGTACTTTTAGGAAACATTTTTCCAATATTTTGGATTTACTCTTAACCTAATGTTTTCTGCCCCTTAACTTACAGTACAAAGTATATTTGAATAGCTTCCTTTTTTTTGCAGAACCATTGTGGGAAATAGCTATAAATGCCTGAGAAGTTGGTTCACCACCCTTCTTTTTCAGTTGCGAGTTTAACGAGACATCGTTGTCATATCCTTAAAACTCCGTTCGCTCCTCCGTCCACCAATCGTATCTGTGTTGACTTTATCTACTGTCCGAGCAACAGAAGTCGGATTGGTGACTCGTCCTGGTAGCTACACTTAAAACAAAGGGCAGCACGTCTATTTTATGTTTTTTTTTTTGCAAATTAAAAATTTCAAATTTAAGTAGTTTTCTTTTCCATTCTTGTTAGTTAAACATTTATTGTTTCATATTACATTTATTTCTTTTCGTGTAGCAGTCTTGGGAGGGGATAAAGGGTGCTCCTTTGTGCCTTTCGAGTTCAATACAATCTCCTGACATACCAAATGTAGCGCGGGGTTGGCAAATAGCGGGGGGTAATGCCAGTGTGGCCCTGCCAGCTAAACTATTTACCTTATGTGCTGTTTGTTGTCGCCTTGGCTACACTTTTCCCAGCCCTCTCCCTGCCACGCCCCGCGCCATTTGATGTCGCTGTTCCCTGTGAATCGCATT